GGAATCCCCTGGAGGATTTCTTCAGACCCAAGGTAGCTGAGCTCACCCTCAGAGTGTCTGATTCAGTAGGTCTAGGGTGGGCCCCGAAATGCAATTTTAGTCAGTTCTCAGATAATGTTGACACTACTGGTCTGCAGAACAACACCGAGAACGTGGTGTGGAAAAATATGGCATTTTGAGTAAGAAACAGGATTATAGTTTCAGGCCTATTATTAGCTATGTTAGCCTTTCTTATTTTTTTATGTCAGATTTTGTTGAAGTATAATTTAAATACTGTAATATTAATCCTTTAATCTGCATAGTCTGTGAATTTTGACAAATACTCATATAAGCCTCACAATCAAGGTACAGAATAGTTCTTCACCCCTACCAACATCCCTGTGAGCCCCTTTGGAGTCAACTCCACCTCTCATTCCAGTCACCAGGAACCCCTGATGTGTTTTCTATCCCTATTTAGCCTTTTCCAGAACTACATGAAAATAGAATCATACAATATGTAGCCTTTCTGAGTGTAGCTTCTTTCACTTAGTACAGTGCATTTGCTATTCCTCAGGTTGGTTGTGTATACCAGTAATTTATTCCTTTTAGTTACTAAATAGCATTCATTGCATTGTATTGATGTATCACAGTTTGTTTATCCATCCACCTGTTGAAGAATATTTGGTTTGTTTCCAGTTTTTGATAACAAAACCACTTTTTGTGTGAACATAAGTTTTCATTTCTCTTGGGCTTACGAAATATATTGAGAAGTGGAATTGCAACAATATATGCTAAGAGTGCTTTATCTTGATAAGAAACCACCAAATTGTTTTCCAAAGTGGCTTTGCATTTCCAAGTATTAGCATTTATGATCAGATTTTTTATTGCATGTGCTAATTTCCATGTATTAACGTTTAGGACCCTTAGTTTTTTCTGTTGCAGTCTGCTCTAATTTTCTTTTGCATTTTATTATAGAAATTTTCAAACATATACCAAAGTTGAAAGAATAGCATAATGAACCCCCATTATACCCATCAGCCAGCTTCAACAATTGTTATGTAGCTAAACTTGATTTGAATATACTTTACCTAGATGTCTTTCAGTTATTGATATCTGATTTAGTTCCATTGTGGTAAGAGAATACTTGGTATGATATGGATACTTTTTAATTTATTGAGAAATGTAATATGGATCAGAATATGGTCTGTTTTGGTAAATGTTTCTTGTGCCCTTAAAAAGAACAATTAGCCTGTCTGATCAAGATGAATGAATGTTCTATAAATGTCATTAAGGTCAAGTTGTTTGACAGTGTTGTTTAGTCTTCTTTATCCTTACTGATTTTCTCTCTACTTGTTCTATCAATTATTGAGAGAGAGGTATTAAAATCTCTGACTGTATTTATAGATGCATCCAGTTCTAGAAGATTTTACTTCTTCTATTGTGAAGCTCTCTTATTAGATACATAAAAAATTAGGATTCTTATATCCTCTTAAGTGATCCTGTTATTATTATTAAATGATCCTCTTCTATCCCTGGTAATATTCTTTGCCCTAGAATCTACCTTGACTGATACTGTTACAGCTACTTCAGCTTTCTTTTAATTAATATTATCTTGGAATATTTTTACCAGTCTTCTTAGTTTTAACCTGTTTGTGTCTTTATATTCAAAGTCGATATGCACTGGGTCTTACCTTTTTGTGCCATCTGACACTCTGACTTTTAACTGGAGTAATTAAATAATGTATACTTGATCTGATCACTGATATGGCTATGTTTAAATCTACCATCTTGCTATTTGTTTTCTGCTTGTCACATCTATTCTTTGTTACCAATTCCCTCTTTCTCTGCCTTCTTTTAGATTATTTGTTATGATTTCTTTTTTTTTGTTTAGTTTTTCAGCAGTTGTGTTACAGTTGATACTGTACATCTTTAATCAATCATAGCCTACCTATATATACCTCTTCATGTATAGTATATGAACAGTACACTTTCATTTCTCTTCTCTCAGCCTTTGTGCCATTGTATATTATATTTTACATCTACATATGTTATAAATTCCACTAATATTGTTTTTTGTGTTTCCTTTAAGTGGTTAATTATCTTTTAAATAAATTTTAAATAAGAAAAGTATTTCTACTTAGCTACCTTCTTGACCATATGGAATATATCTATAATAGCTATTTCAATGTACTTATCTACAAATTCTGTGTTCCATCTCATTTCTGGATTTGTTTCTATTATTCATTTTTATTTATCCACATTATGAGTTGTTTTTTTCCTACTTCTTTGCATGTGTGGTAATTTTTTGTTGGATGGCAAACATTTTGAATTTTGCATTGTGGATTTCTTTTTTGTGTACATTTAAATATTTTTGAACATTGGGATAAAATTAAATTTGGAAACAGTTTGATCCTTTCTAGACTTACTTTTAAGCTTAGTTAGGGAGAGCAGAGCAGCCTTTCTTCTAGGGTTGATTTGACGCTATTACTAAGGCAATACCTTTCTGAATATTCACCCTGATGATTCATGTGTTACAAGACTCCTTGAACGGTTCCAGCCCTGTGTGTGCTCCAGGAAGTGTTGTGCCTGCTGCTTTCTGCTGGTTCTTTTCCTAGCCTCGGGTCCCTTTCTCACACACATGCTCTGATCAGCGCTGAGCTGAAGGCTTGAGGTGGATCTCCTGAATGTGGTCTCTCTGTATGTGTTTCTTTCCTCTCTGGTGCCCTGCCTGTGAATTCTGTCCTCTTTGGCCTCCTCTGTCTCCCAAGCCAGGGGGATTGCCAGTTTCTGTCCCGGAAACTACGCAGTAAGCCAGCATAGTTATAGGATTCTCCTTGTTTGTTTCCCTTTTCTTAGGGATAACCATTCTGTGCTGCTTGTTCCATGTCTGAAAACCTTTTTTTATTCATGCTGATTTTGTTGTTTAAGGTGAGAGGTTCAGTCCAGTCTCTGTTACTCTATTATTACCACAAGTAGAATACTGACTCTGTATTGTTTTATTTATTACCAAAGTAAATTCATTATTCACAAAATGAATAATAAGGATGATTCCTTTTTCACAGGGATTAGATTAAATAATATTTATAAAAGAAAAGCACTTTATAGCTGGTAAAGTGGAAAGTGCTGCGTAGGGGCCCGTCACTGCCATCACCTTGCTTTCCTGTTGTGTGGATAGTCTGTATGGTACTAAAGCCTAAAAGGCCAAAAGTGGAAGGTGTTGTTTCTGAAAAATTGCCTGTGCCTCCATGCACATCAGCATGCCATGTTGAATATTTTTCTGGACTATGTTAATTCATACATTCATTCAGTAGACACATATTAGACACCCATGTCAAGCACTATTGTAGGCACCAGAGATCTCTGCCTTCAAGGGGCTTATATTCTATTGGTGTGTTCTTTTTTCTGTGTGTCTCTCAGCTGTCCCACATTTTTCTTTCAGTGACTGGACACATGTCTCATTCTGTCTCAGGGCCTCTGTATGAGGGCTTATCTCATTCTGCCTTACTTCTTGTATTCTCTCTCCCTAGTTTGTCTTGTTTTCCTATATTATCTTTTTCTTTGTCTCATTCAGTTCATTTGTTATAATATTTCTATCTTTCTCCAATTAATCTTTCTCTTTCTGTATAAAAGAATCAAAGAAGAGTCTTTGCAAAAGTTTAAAAGGCTTTAAAAAAATATCTGTGCCCCCACTTACCTCTTTGAACTACTCACTGACTATTGACCTCTTGTTCATTTTCCTGCAACCACATTGACCTCCTTGCCATTGTTGTCTTTTGGAAACACCAGGCATGGTCTACCTCAGGGTCTCTGCACCTGCTGTTCCTTCTGCTTTGAATGCTCTTCTTCCATATATCCATATCTTCCCCCTCACTTTCTTCACGTCTGCTCAATTGTCACCTTTTCTGGCCTCTCCCTATTTTAAAGTATCATGCCTTCTGTTACTACCTTTCCTGTCCTCCCCTCCATTCCTTCTTTATTTTTCTTGGTGACATTATTACCTTGTAAATTATACTGTAAAATTTGCTTCTTTGTTTCTTCTTTGTGGTTGCACCTGCATATAAGTTCTATGAAGGTACGTATTCCCTCATTGCTGACAAGAGTGCCTAGGACACCGCCTGGCACATTTGTTAAATGAATGAATCTCCTTGGTAAAGTGCTGTTTTGTTTGTTTGCTATATGCATTCATTGAATATACTAATTTGTTTCATGCACTTTATTTAAAAAATGAATGGCTGGAGCATTTTATATGTTTTCTTAAAAATCCCTTACATTAGTTTATTTAGCTTATTAATATATTTTGTCTCTATGGGTGTGTAACCTTCATGAGCTAAAAGGTTCTCCATCTCTGATTACAGATATACCTTCAGGCCTGAGTACATGTAGAATTAGATGACATTCTAGTGGTAATAATTAACGCCAACCTTATAGATAACCCAGGAAGAGATGGGATTCTGGTTAGACTTTAAATCCCATCCAGAAACTCAAGGGTGATCCAGAAAAAAACCCACAAGTCCTTCTAAATATAATATTCTTCTTACCCTTTAAAAAAAAGTTAGAAAACTTATTACTACATTTGGAATTAAAAATTCTTTTTATACAACTCTCCTGGAAAATACTTTAAAAGGAGTCTGGGTAAAACTTCCTTAAAAAGATAAATAAATACACATACACACACACACACACCTATGCATACAAACTTACATACCCGACTCCTGTCATCGTGCTTTGGAAGTCTAACAAGCTCTGAAAAACAGAAGATTTTTCTAAGCTTACCACAAACTCATTTGGTGGAAAACCCAGTCTGACCTGTTGTTCAGTTGTTTATAGTCTTTATTATTCCATTTGGTGGGTCTATTTTATATGTTTCACTGTAGAAATTGTATTGTGTTTGACTGTTGTGTGGGCCCCAGAGATGGAGGGCCTGTGCATTTTTTTTTAAACCCACTTTGCTAAAATGAAACTGGACTCTGTAGTGATTGCCTAACTTTTGATTGTTGTTGCCATTATTGTTTTTTCTTCAGCTTTGCAAACCTGGGTATACTTCATGTGACAAAGAAAAAAGTATTTGAAACCCTGGAAGCACGAATGACAGAGGCTTGTACCAGGGGTTATAATCCTGGACTCTTGGTGCACCCTGATCTTGCCTATTTGCAAGCAGAAGGTGGAGGCGACCGGCAGCTCACAGGTGAGTGTCACCCTCCTAGCCTTGCTGCTTTGAGTTCAGGCTCTTCTTTTCTTGTGTGTGGGCTAGGTGCTCATCTCTGTGCCCCAGGTTTCTCCTTCTCCAAGTCTGTCTGCCAAGCTGCTCCCTTTCCCTGCTCAGAAACCTTCGATGGCATTGGGTACTTTTGAATAAAATCTGCAATTCCGTAGCCTGGCATACAAAGCCTCTCAGTGTGGCCCCAGCCACCTTCCCAACCTCCTCCGCAGTCCTCCCATCACCCGCCTCTCCCCATCACTGCCACCTGAACACTGCTGCATATTTGTACCTTCCTCTACCTAAAACACCCTACCTTTCCCCTTTCAACCTGTCAAAACCAATTCATAATTCAAGACTTGGTGCAATGAACACCCTCTGTTATACCTTCCCCAGCTCACCTTATTATAAGAAATCTTCCTTTGGACTCTTCAAGCATGTTATAAACTATTCTCTTTATCATGACAATGCTGTGCTTTATGTTTTCCTGCCTTCACTCATTTCTTTTCTTTGAGCCCCTTTCCTTGTCCCACCACATACACCATTTCTGCATGTATGTGTTCTCTTTTAGTATGGCCACCTGTCTTTCTCATACTCAGGCAACAAGGCTGATCATTTTTCCACTAAACATGTTTCACCCCCTGATATCCAGACTCAAAACCTTCATGTCATCTTTGACTCCTCGTCACCTGCGCTACAGCTACAGTTTGTGGTCCAGCTATCCTGTGCTCTCTGCTGCTCCACTCTTCTTGTTGCTCTGTCTCTATCCCTCTCCACTTCCAAAGCACTTTACACCTTATGGCCAGCTAGATCCCACTAAAGCCTAGAGCTCACTACTCAGTGTCTCCCCACTGCCTACAAAATCTTCAAGCTGGCATTTTAGATCTCCTGAGAGCTGGCCCCCAGCTGCATTTCCAGCTGTTCCCCACTATGCCCTTTATGTCAGACAGAGCTGCTCCAGAGGAGCGCCATGATTCTCACTTCCTTGCTCACACATTCTTTCTGTTCTTGACATTCCCTCTTCCTGGAATGCCCTTACTCACTTTCTTCATAAGTGCAAGTTCTACCATCCCTTTGAGATTTAGAGCAAATGTCTCTTCTGTTCCAAAGCCTCTGGATTATCCCCTCCGTTGAAATTCCGTATCTCTTCATCTGTGGCTCTTCTATAATACTTATGACTTGAATTATCACCTCTTATGATATTATAAGTTAGTAAAACTATATCCATCAGCCTGAAAGCTCCATCAGGAAGGAAGGAAGGAAGGAGCCAAATGCAAATCAGTCATTTAATTCCTTCACAAGTACTTTCTGAGTATGGAGAATGTGCCAGACACTGTGCTGGGTGCTGTGGAATGAACACAGTCCCTGAGCTCAAAGAGCTTCTGGAATACTTAATTTTCATATTTCTCAATATAACTGAGGTATAACTGGCTTATTGCTTTCCATTCTATCACATTGTCTATTCCTTTAACTCTTACCGCAGGGGGGAAAGAAAGAGAGGTTGGGGTAAGATTGGAAAGGAGAGAGGCAGTTTGATACACGTAAGACAGTTTTAACTGTAATCCAGAGAAAATGCAGGTCTTCTTTGGATGCCTTTAATTTTGGATGCCATAAATAAGAATTTTATTAGCATTATGAGGGATTGCAAAATAAAAACATTTTTATTTTATGATCTTTATTGGGGTTTTATAAAATCATCCTGTCTAAAATGTTCGTGCTTTACTCTTTCCCTGGGCACGAATGCACTGTTGTGCGGTCCTAGATCGGGAAAAGGAGATCATCCGCCAGGCAGCTCTTCAGCAGACAAAGGAGATGGACCTCAGTGTGGTGCGGCTCATGTTTACAGCTTTTCTTCCAGACAGCACAGGCAGCTTCACAAGGCGCCTCGAGCCTGTGGTGTCAGATGCCATCTATGACAGCAGTGAGTACTTGACTTCTAGCAGGAGGCAGTTTATTATGAGGTCAAGAACAGATTCCCATCCCTGCCCTGGCAGTTACTTATTAGCTCTGAGTCCTGGGACAAATGACTTAATCACTTGCAGCCTCAGGTTTATCATTTGCAAAATAGGAATACTAAAATCCAGCTTAAAAAGTTGAGGTCTAGATTAAAAGTGAAAATGCTGAGTTGCTAAATAAATATAGTTCTCCTTCCTCAGATGTGCATTTTAGTCTTACATGTGATGCCAAATCTCATTATTTGTGGATTTTTTGCTATAAGGATATATTGTTGGTACTCTTAATGTGGGAAAAGTATCTTGGGCTTTCTGTTGAGGCTCTGAAGAGAAGTTCATAAAAAACAACTACTATTCCTATCCATCTTCATTTTGCATGTTATAGTTTTATCAGGATAGGAACTTCAAGTTAGCTGACTGAACAGTATGGAGAGTATATGACTTCAAAACTCTATTTGTCTATAGTTCCTAGAATATTTTTTAAGAGTTTTACAGTGGTCTTCGGAACTTACCACGCAAATTTCCTGTTTGGTATGCATGAGATATATTAAACAGATATTTCTAAAAATCCTGCAAGTGCAGTATTTAGGCTCATTAAAAGTTTATAGAGTTTAGTCTAAGCAGAAAAGTCCATGTTCCAAGTACAACTAACTGATTTCTCTGATTTAAACAAGTTTGAAAGGAAGTGAAAGAGTTATAAAATGATGTAGACTTGTGTGCTAAAGATCACCTTAAAATGCAGCTGTTGGAGAGAGAAAAAAAAAAGGGAAGCCTTAGACTATGCCACATGAAACTTTTGCCCCCTAACCACACAGAATTCTAATTTAGTGCATGAGGGAAAAAAATGTAACATCTCCATTTTTCTTTTCTGTAGAATAAAAAGTAATGCATAATTTAAGAAAGCTATGCTTTTCTTAAATTTCTAGGACTTGTGAATAATAAATCAGTATCATGGAAATAAGGTTGAAGTTAAAGCGTCGACCTACTTGAAATCCCACAAGTCCTTCGGCTTGGTACTTCCTGAAACATCAGAAAAGCTCTTTCTCTTTGTGTTAACCTCTCTTGCTCTGTTAGTGGGAGAAATACATACTGCTCCTTTCTGCCTTTTCTGTTTGGTGATAATGAACAACCCATGCCCAAGAAGTACTTCAGAAGGCATTTTTATATGATTTGTGTTGTTGTTAAGGCAACATTAGTGAAAGCATCTATTCAAACTTTCTTTCGGTTAATTATACAAAGGATAGAGTCCCACATAGAGAATGGCTTGGGAAGCTGAGGATAAATCATGATGTTATTTTTCTCCCATGCACAGAAGCCCCCAATGCGTCCAACTTGAAAATTGTAAGAATGGACAGGACGGCTGGATGCGTAACTGGAGGGGAAGAAATTTATCTTCTTTGTGACAAGGTTCAAAAAGGTAAATATATATGCCCTGAGCTCATCATGTGAAATAAAATTCTGAGTGTGTCTAAGTTAGTTTTTGGCACTGGACCCAGTAATATCCCTCTTCTGCCATAGAACTTCTATAAAAAATATGTACATTTCACCTCCTCCAAATTTAAGCTGGCTGTGTTACTTTTTTCTCTAAACAGAATTTTAATGATTAATTTTCTTCAAGTGGATTGCCACATTTTAATGAATCATTTCCTATAGCAGGACATTTTCTTGACTAATTACATTGCAATGAAAAAACAATTTTGTGAATAATACTTTCCCATATTTAGAAGTCTGTGTTATTTTTTTTAGGCCAACTAATTAATTTTAAATTTTTCAACAGAAATAAGAAAATAGTGATAATATTAATCAGTGACATTTCAGTGTTTTTATACTTATACTCTGGTATCTGATCTTAAACTAAGTAATAGCCCATGCTTCATACTTACACTTGCACAGAATAATGTTTTACATAGTATAAAATTGTTTATTTTTTTATCTCACAGTGCTTCACTGCAACACTGAGAGAGCTTCTCCAAATATTTTCACATGACATTATGATGTCAGTTTAGAAAAAGAAAGAGAATAAGAACTACAGGGAAATTCTCAGAACATATTTCTCTCATAATTTCACTTTCAGAAAGGTTCTTGGCATTTATCTCTCATTATGTACAAGTTTGATAAATTAGCAAAAGTTGATGGCAATTGTGTTATTTTCTCAAACTTTACTCATATTTAAAATAAAATGATAGAAACTATAGGAAAATAAAGATCTACTCACTACAAAGTAATGAGCATTTTCAAAGTAAGCAGATGCATACCTGAAAATAAAGCCCCTAAATAAAAGAATTAGGGCTTAAAAAAAAAAGAAAATTTCCATTCAAGGTTAAAAGTCCTGCCGTAAAACTTCAGGAGAAAAATGAGATCAGACTTCAAAGTAAAGGTATATATTTCTTTATCCAAAAAATGTTTACACTTTCTCTGCATATTCTGCTACCAGCATCAGCCTTCTCTTAACCCATTCTATCCAAGTAATGCACATTTCTAGATTCCTGGGTGTGCATACTGTGAGTAATCACAATCTAAGTACCTTTATTTCTAAATGTGATTCTTAATCATTATCATTACATTAGAATAGTTTATTAAGAGAAATTTTGTACCTGGCTTAAAGAATCTGAATAAATAGGTCCACAGTAGTCCTATCTGAAGGCAAAGGAATGGACCAGTGATGTTTTATCCAACCCTAATATTTTTTAATCTGTTGAAGAAGAAATGTAAACTCAGTTTTTATAAGTCAAAAGTTCAGTCCTTCCTATGAAATGGGAAGCTAGATGCCAACATGACCGACTTACATTGTCATAAATCTGCAGAGGTAGAATCCATGATTGAAGTATGAAATTTAGGCATTCTAATTTAATCCAAAGGGTTTGACCAACATAATATTTTTAACAATTTCTCAAAATGGACTAATAAAGTATCATAGGGAGGCAGCAGAGTAGAATGTTTAATAGCCTGGAGTTTGAAAGTTTATTGTCTGTGTTCAAATCCTGGCTTCTCCATTTACTAGCTGTTAAACTTTGGATAGGTTACTTAACCTCTCTGGACTCCAGTTTCTCTTCTGACAAATGAGGATATTAATCCTCATAAAGTTGAGGGTTAAATCACAATGTATCACAAAGTTGTTGTGAGGATTAAATCAGTTAATATATAAATATCAATCACTTAGAACTGTGTCTACCATATAGTAAACTTCTTAACATTATTATAGATCTATATCAAGATGAACCGCCTTTTAGGATTCTGATGTTCCTCACTATCTTTCATGTTTCTCAGGAGTGAAATGGTTTGGGGATGGAGAAGTGGGAAGGTCAAGGTTAAGAGAAAACTCACTGAATAGGTAAATCTAGCATTTATTAATTCATAAATGAAGCTTGGGGCCCATTACAGTGATAACTAATAAAAAAACTTCAGTGTTTTATGAAAATCATAAATGATTCACGTATCTATTTTATATTAATTACTTTAAAAAAATGTAAGTACATAGTATGTAGAGTCCTGAACCAGCTTTATTTTTCAGCATGTTTATAAAAATTATTACACTATATAAAATAACGCACCTGAATACAACTGTTTACAACTGTTTGCAGATGACATCCAGATTCGATTTTATGAAGAGGAGGAAAATGGTGGAATCTGGGAAGGATTTGGAGATTTTTCCCCCACAGATGTTCATAGACAAGTAAGTAGATGATGGTGGTTATGATTTTATATTTTCTGCCTTGTTGGAATTCAGTACTTAGTTTCCATATGTGAAAAAGGAAAAATCATATATATTTGACTTTCATAAAAGAGTACTAGGTTTAAGACTCTTGCAGGTCTTCCAGCAGTTACCTACCATAGAGTTATGGGCAAGGCTCTGTTAGTTCACTGCCTCTGAATCCTGGGTGTCAGACCGCCTCACTGCCATAAGTCAGTGGCCCTCAGGTCCTTCAGAGGAAGTGGTTTCAGTGTCTGTATTAGTCTGCTCAGGATGCCTTAACAATATCATACATTGGGTGGATTAAAAAACAGAAATTTATTTCTCACAGTTCTGGAGGCTAGAAGTCCCATTCAAAATCTAGCAGGGTCAGTTCCCTGTAAGAGCTCTCTTCTTGGCTTCCAGACAGCCGTCTTCTGGCTGTGTCCTCATGTGGTGGACAGAGAGCAGACCCTCTGGTGTCTCTCTTTATGAGAACATGAGTCCTGTCTGATCAGAGCTCTACCCTATGACCTCATTTAACCTTAATTATTTCTGCAAAAGCACTAACTCCAAATAGAGCCACAGTAGGGGCCAGGGCTTCAATATATAAATTTTAGGGTGACAGTCAGTCAGTAACATGTTCCACCAGGTAATTATGGTAAGACCTGTTAAAAGGGTATTCTAGTGAAAAATGTGGAAAGGAAGAGTCTTCTAGTTGAAGCTGATGTCATGATAAGACTTCCCAGTGACAACTGAGTATATTACTAAGGAATGAAAATGCTAAGTCCCCATCTTAGTGATTACTCTGAGTGACTGAGGAATACTATATTCACACACAAAAAAATTGGAAACAAACATCCGTCAATAAGTGGTCAGTTAAATAAATTATGTGTAGTTATGTAATGGAATATTTTAGTTATTAAAAAGAATGAGTACTCTATGAATTACTATGGAAAGATCTCCAAGATACATTAAAAATTTTTATAGATGTAAAACAAAATGTATGTAAAAAAGATTCTATGTTCATGTTTGCACATGTATAAAGAAATTCTGAAAAAAATCTAAAAGAAGTGAACTTATTTGTGTTGACCTCTGGAGGCAGGTACACATTAGGGATCACCGGATAGGAGACAGGAGTGGCAAGAATTGTCAATGTACACCATTGTGCACCCTTTTATATTTTATAAAGTCTTGATCCCTGTGAGTATATTACGTAGTCAAAAAATCAAACTGAAAAATTATAAAAATGCCTCACTGTTGTAGCACTACCAGGAATGAAGAAGGAGGCTGTCTCAGAGTGTTACAGAATGCCCCACAGACGCCTACAGCCTTGGCCATCCTCACCTCAAAATACATGGACTCTATTATGATGTCTCCCTTGCAGAATTTAGTTTCCTCTCCTTGTTGACTGACCTATGGTACCACTTTCCTCATCTCTCTTTTCTACAGCCAGTCTTTCTCATGGTGCTGTAAATAATCTTAGAAGCTTTTAAGGCTGATTTGGAAGAGGAGAAGGAGGTGTATGCAATCTATTTTATTCATATGGTTATTTACTGGAAGGCATTTGAAATATTAGACAAATGAAATAATAAATATTTGTAATAGATTGACATAGTCTTACATTTCAAATTCACATTTAATTCAGTGCCAATTAAAATGTATGGAGATAAAATTCTGAGTGTGTAACTTTTTCTAGAATGCTGTATGGTTTAGTGCACTGTGTTTAAACATTGGGCATAAAGAATGTATTTAATGAGTAGCGATGCTGGAAAAAAATGTAGTCCTACCCCAACATTTGGATCTTTATATCCTGCAGTTTGCCATCGTCTTCAAAACTCCAAAGTATAAGGATGTCAACATTACAAAACCAGCCTCCGTGTTCGTCCAACTTCGGAGGAAATCTGATTTGGAAACTAGCGAACCAAAACCTTTTCTCTACTACCCTGAAATCAAAGGTAACTCAGTTGTTTAAACTCTCATGCTTGTTCTTATAAGAGGACAAGCTGAACAGAAAAGATCAGTTAGTTACTTCATTTGAACAGCTTCCTGGAAACTGGCCTCTGGGTCCATGGTACTTATTTTTAGAAAAGAGAGAAGAGAATATACTTTCTGGGGGAATCAGGAAATAAAGTCCAGCCTTTTAAAATAATGTTATTCCATCAAGTTTATGAGATTTAGATATTGGAGAATTTGTCTTTGAATTTGGGCACCTGCCACTTATTGAGCAGCTTGGGGTTCAGGCAGTTCAGATGAAGAGAGAACGCTTGCTGTTTAGGAGAACCAGCCACTCAGTCACCGGGCCTCAGGCAGTTGAACAGAAGACCCAGCCACTGTGCTATGCAGAACTGTAAAACTGAATGAAGTGCCATTCTTTTCCTCACAAACAACATGCTGAGAAGGGGAGATATTAGTCTCCTTAAATAGTTAGAATGAAAATTACGATTTTGATAAATCCCAAAAGTGAAGCATCCACAAACACATAGAGAATGCTGAGGAAAACGCTTGATTCCAAAGACGCCACCACGAAGAAGTTGTCTTCAGTCCTTAAAATTGGGGGTCGATTTCAGGAGTCGGGTGTGAAACCAAAGAAAAGGGTTTTCTGGGCTTAGGAAACCTGAGGAGCTAGAACAGCCCGTGTGTAGACAGGGGACAGTGAGTGTTACAAGTGCTGAAATGGACTTCTGAAAGCCTGGCAGGAAAGGGAGGCCTGGCCAGGCTCTGAGGTGCTCTGACTGGCAGCTAAGGCAGTTTGCGTTGATTCTGGAGATGGGAATGACCAGGCCTTTTGGATTTGGAATGATGGCTCTTTTTCATATACACACTGAGGAGGCTATTGGCCACAGACAATGAGTCAGAAGAGTAATTAATGCAAGAACCAAGTGAGAGATGGTAAGCTAGTGAAGGCATTAGTGTGGGGAACAAAAGGAGGAGGTGGACTTGAGAAGCAGCGCCATGATGGCCTCAAGAGTACCCCGACGCTCATTGAGAAATTCAGGAGGCCTGTGGTTATAGGAATCCCCACCTTAGGAGCCCTGTGGTATGACTGAGTTGATGAAAGAATCAAAGGGGTAAAAGTAGGTTTGGATGGGCAGAGAGGGAGCTCAGTTTAAAACATGTTGCATTTTATGCCCAAGTGGCACATTCCTAATAGGCCAATTAAGAGGCAGAACTGCAACTGCAGAGGGTGGGTTGGGAAATCCAGCACTGAGAATTCCCTCAGAATGAGTGTAACAGGCCCCAAAACTTGGTAATTGTTCAAACGTATTTCTTGACCTAGAGTCCTCTGGTCGCCAAGGGGTCCGTGGATAGAAATGTACTCCAATATAATTAGCTTTTTTTGTAACCTATTTTATATTTTACATATTGAAAACTATGATACTAAATAGAGATCCAGAGACTTCTCCAGTCTGCAAAAGAGGCTGGGGAACAAACAAAACTAGAAACGCCTGGATTAGAGGGAAATGAGGCCCTAGAGGGAGGTCGGTGAATGGCCGCCACGGGCACCCAGGGCCTGGCTGAGGGTGGAAACCACAGAGGGGCCACAGGAACATCCGCACAGGCATTGAGTCTTGTGACAGGTACTCTTTGAAGAGGGCTTGCTTTTCCTGGAATTCATGGTGTGGCAGGAGCATTAAGAAATGGTTGCATAAGTATTTATTTCTTTTCTGAGGTTGTGACCTCCTCATGGATGGGTCAGTTTTATAGTGCATTCCGTTATTGGTGGTGTGAAAACACCATCAGCAGAGTTGCCTTCTTTTGCTCCACATGAAATTTCATGCAAAATCCCAGTACATAAATGAGATGGGCTCTGGTTAAAGTCGAGGTGAAAAGCCTTGTCACTTGGCCTTCACAGAAACGCTCTCCCCTCCACTCACTTCCCCACTTGGAGCAGCCTGAGGTCTTCTGAATGCTTCAGTCTGCATAAAATTTGGAAGTTACTGCTTTGTATTAAACATCCTTCTTTAAGAGTAGGACACAGAAAAGAAATATGGCAAGCTTTTTTGGACTTTCTAAAGAAAGAAAAATAGATTTCTCTCCTAATAGATGTCTCCAAAATAATATCCATTTTTCTAACAGAGAATCATGTCAGAAAGGAAACACAGTTTACCTACTCATGCATGAGCCTAGAAACATGCAAAGCTGAGCTTGGTTTGTAGACTGCCTTTCTACTCATCAAAAGTATCTGTGCATCAAAAGAGTATGACACAGCAGGGGCATGTTCAGACTATTACTTTCATTGCTACGCAGTCATATGGGGTTAAGAGGCTGGGGTTAGAGAGTGGGATCTCCTGAAAGTTCCATATCCCACCCATATGCCACAAGCACTTATCTTTTAAGTCTGTCATTGATAAGAAGCTCAATGCAACACAAACCATGTAATAAAAACCATCTAGAAAATTAAGAGTTAGGAGTTGGGCTCCACAGAAAGAATGGCCAACATGTATTGTGACTGACTGATTGTGAGATTAGAACTGTTTTACTCAAGATAACAATTAGTCTTTAAAACCTTCTGGATTATAAAATCCCAAGATGAAATAATCACAAGGAGAAATAATCAACAAGGCATATAACTGATCAGAAAAGTAGCAGACTATTTAACATAAGAGTAAGTATATGAAAGTGAGTCCAAACTATACAACCAAAATTATGCAATGTATATTGTATAATTTTATGCACATTATACAAGCCAAATTATACAATGACACCTTGAAGTCATGGAACACACTTCCATCTCCCCCATCCCCTGTAGTTACTCCCTATTTCATTGCCTAATTTTATTTTCTTCATTATTTTTATCAATTTTTAAAGTTGTCTTATCTGTTCATTTATGTGTCATTTATGTGTCTGTTGTCTTCTTTCTACCTCCAGTAGGAAGAATATACTTTCAGTCACAAATTTGATCTTTCATGTTCATCGCTACATTTCCAGCATCTGGAACAGTATAAGTCATCTAGTTGATACTTATTAAATATCTGAAAGCTAACTTACTGACTGACCAACCCAGTTACCATCCTAATCCAAAGACTGGTAATTTGTTGGGTGCTAGTGAGTTAGGCATTAGACAAAGAAGCAGAACACATCCGTCTCATCGTACAGAATCTCCCAGCCCTGAGCTCTGCGTCCTCTACGACGCAGAGGGGATGGCTGGGTCCAGGGGAGACAAGAGAATCAAGAAAGGGATGATTGGCAAGGGAAGAAGATACTTGAGAAACTGCTATATACAAAAGCAAAGACCATAGTGACTTTTCATTCTGAAAAGATGGATATTAGAAACCATCATAATCTTTAAATTACGAAAGGTATGGTCAGGATAGATGCAGGCATCTTTACTGGCTGGCACACTAGAACCTGAAAAGGGAGAATAAGAGACTTACAAGGCACATGCACAGCAAAAGGTGGCAGAGGATAAAAGTTTATATTCGTGAACTAAACTATTAAGTCATTTATTATTTAAGGCAGATAAGGTATTTCAGAGTGTTTTCCAAAGCACACTGGCCTAATGTAATGAGACTCTCACTAGACTTTGGATCTGACCTTTTCTCTGACCTGATCTCAGACAAGTAAGTCCCTTTATTATCCTCACTTCATTTTCCTCTTCTGTAGAAAGGGGGCTTATAGTGGGTGACTCTTAGGTCCTTTCTAGGTTAATGTTTCATAGTAAGTACTTCCTATGGTGCCACTGTCAAAAGCAGACCACGGGACAGATAAACCTAGTGTGAAAATCTCCACATTCAAAGTAATGACTCTGTGGCACCAAACTACACTGACTGACAGTGGCTGCAATAGGGGGTGTGAGGACTTGATAATATGAATGAATGCTGAAACCGCAGTGTTGTTCATATGAAACCTTCATAAGATTGTGATCAATGATATTTTAATTTTAAAAAAACCTCCTTGTTCAATTCATGGAAATTCCATGCAGTTTCTTTTATTTTAAAAAAGCTTGTCATATGGAATTTTCTGTATCAGTTTCTTGTCATTGAAATCTTAAGAGCTATAGAATAATTTTTTTAATTGACTCCCAAAATTTCCACTCTACAGTGAAGTATAACCAGCGATCATCTCTGTTTATAAGTCAGAAGCAGTACATAGCAAGGAGTAAATACCAAGTGATCTCTTTGCTAGAAGACATGTCAATAGGTGACATTTATTTCTGAAGATGTCTGCTTCCCTCTTGTGTTTCATATAGCTAATGAATTAACCATCTATATGAGGGCAATAGCTTATAGATGAGTAATAAGCATGACTATTAGTTTCGGTACAACTGATGGAGAAATTTTATAAATTTGTCCAAAACCTCTGATAAGGAAAATATTGAAGTTTCTCCACTGTGAGGTTACTTACCCCTTTCTAGTGGAAGCACATTTTCTTCAGAGTTGACCCACATTGGTTTTTTCTTCCTAACAAGTCTGGACATGATAAATTTTTAAATGACTATTTTTAAGTATACTTTGCTACCCTACTTTCCCCTGCTTCAGTCTTTCAACTGCACTTAGGTGATGGAGAGATAATCAGAAAACAGCATTCTTTCTAGCCCTCAGATGACTGGAACAACCACAGAATTAGAAGTGAATATTTTTTTGAACATCAACAAGTATCAAAATTGACCCTGAAGAATTAGAAATAAGATGATTGTTAAGTATTAGGTTGATGATTGAAAAAAAGAATACAGCATTGAGTATTTAACAAAAAACTTTCTTCACTCCTTCAGCCCAAAGGAGAGCAGGGAAAAAAAAATGTGTGGCAGGCAAATCAGAGAAGAGAAAGAAAGGGAAACAGGAAACAAGAATACAATAGCAGACCACAAAACCAGTGACAGAGCTTGGAGGGCCAGTGGGGTGGGTGAGAAGCTAGATAGCGAGGCACAAAAGGGAACAGAACAGCCACATGAGGAATAGGGGGAGAAAGTCTGCATAGCGTCCAGACCTGGACAAAAATCTAAGGGGACATCTCCTTTTAGTCATGTAGTGGTCTTAGACTTATAGCTTCCCATATCTCATTGGTCACCAAAGGCTACAGATCCTTCCTTCACTGTACTTTTGGGCCCACCCATTTGTATTATTATGGGGACCACGCAGGAACAACTTCCATCACCCTCTGTCTGCACTGTCTCTGCCTCTCACTTTGATTCTTTATTTTGTCCTAATCACCAATGACAGACAGATGAATCTTCCTAAAATAAAACATCATTCCCCAGTTCAAAGACATTCAGTGGCTCTTCTGTCTATAAATTAAATCCCTTGGGTTCATAATCCAGGTGCTCCACAATGTGGTCCCACATCAGCCCCATTTCTCAAGAATTCCTCATACTAAACTTTCTCTTCAGCTAAGCTGATCCACTGCTGTTCTCATAAGCATGCAGTGCACATTGTTTCCTTCATTACTTTCCTCTACGTCCCTTTCCCAGAACATCCTCCCTTTGTCCTCTCCCTGATATAAAGTTGGTTCTGGAAAGCCTTTCCTGAGTTTCCAGCCACAAGGATTCCCTAGAAGTCCTTCCTTGAACTCCTAGAACACTGATTTGCACCAAGAATTTAACATACATAGCATTATAGTGTTCTCTCTCTAAATCTTTCCCCACAGCCTTAAAATCATATTGGAGGGTTCTTGACAGCAAAGACATTATGTCTATTTCCCTGATATACTTTAGCACTTAGCTCACAGTAGATGCATAATAAATGTTAGCTGATTAGTAATAGTTGTGAAATGCTTAATAATGTTTTTCATATTCAGTATCTTCTGCATCTTAATCTTTGATGGGCAATTGAGTCTCTTACTAATTTGAATGACATTAGGGGTTTAAGAAACTTGCTGGGAGGATTTGGGTGTGTACTGTTCTGTGGTCTCTGAGGCTGGTTCTCAGTCTCTGAATCCATAGGAATAAATATTACGCTTCTTGAAATGTGGCATCTCTTCCTCCTCGGGGGCTCTCTGTTTCCCTTTAAGATGTTTAAAAATATCGTCAGAATCAATATTCTTTCTGTGGCTAGTGGTGGAACTGAATTAATCTTTTCTCCTCTGGTTTCTCTTCCCTTAACTACAGATAAAGAGGAAGTGCAGAGGAAGCGACAGAAGCTCATGCCCAATTTCTCTGATAGCTTCGGCGGCGGCAGCGGTGCTGGGGCCGGCGGCGGGGGCATGTTCGGCGGCGGCGGCGGTGGCGCCGGAAATGCGGGCCCAGGTACGAGCCAGGTCTGCTTTCTCTACAGCTTCTTCTCCTTGGGAGACAGACTTTCCTATTACTCCATTTCCCAGCTCGTCTGTGGGCTCAGTGGCTGCCATTATCGGGTGTGATCATTAAAATGCCCAACAAATACATTTTTTTTCAAAAAGGGGCATGTTCATTTTATAATATTTAGAGAATAACAAAAACTGTAAGAAGAAAAAGAGTCACTCAGGGTCACTTATGCCCAGAACATCTCTGGTAACGTTTTCCCGTATATTCTCTCTTCTCCTTTTTGGCATGGTTGTCTAGGTATTCTTTGGAGAAACACTGAAACGATTTCATGTTACATATACCACATATGTAGGAAATTTGCAAAACACATAAAATCCTGCCATCAAAGCTTAACTACTTCTAGTTTTTTTTCTGTGCATACGATATAGTACATACCTGCATTTCCCCAGATACAGCTCTGATCCTCATTATGCAGAGTATTTCAGTTCAGTTACATGTATTATTTATTTATTGTCATCACATCATGACTGTGTATATTGGGTCAGATATGCTGCCTTTCCCTAACAAGTTAACACAAGCCATTTCCCATGGTAATACAAACTTTACGTTAGCACAATTTTTTAAGCATCATTTTAATGACTTGTATTATTTTATCAAGTAAACAAACCGTAGCATAACTTTCTTGAATGCTGTTTTCTGGTTTTTACATAAAATGCTGTACCAAACTCCTCTATCCACATTGCTTTTCTTTTATTCCAGATTATTTTTGTAAATTGTGTTCTTTGAAATAAAATTACTATGTCAGAGAGTATGATATCTAATAACAGCCACAAAGAATTTTAACCAGTTTATGCTTCTACCAAAATGCATGAGAATAAACAGTGGTAGCCATGTTTCCGTTGAGGTGTCAGTATATTTCTCTGTATTTTGTTTGGTTCAGTTTTTCCCTCCAGAGGGTGTGTTAATGTCTTCTGTGCTGGCAAGTGTGAGTTGGGGTGGTGGCTGCTCACTGTAGCATTCCCTCCACGTGGGGCTGGGAGATTTCTCCAGCAGTGACTCCTCCACGTTGCCCCCAGCCTGGAGCTGCCTGAGTTGCCAGCATGTAAACTTCACAGAGTGGGATTCTGATCATCCCATGCCCCCCACTGTGTGTCTTACTAACTCTCAACAGAAGCACCCCATCGGGCACCCTGCCCTCCCACACCAAAGCCTCTGCCTGCCTGAGAGAAGGACAGTAAGGTTTGTTGAGTCTTCGCAAAAAAAAAAAAAAAAAAAAATCATCATGAGGATTCATTTGTCTTACTTGCCATTTCAGGGTATGGCTTCCCCCACTACGGATTTCCTACATATGGTGGAATTACCTTCCACCCTGGAACCACTAAATCTAATGCTGGGATGAAGCATGGTAAGATCTGTGTGTGTGTGTGTGTGTGTGTGTGTGTGTGTGTATACACATATATATTAATTTTTTTAATACTGAGAAAGGAATAAAAAATTAATGCCAAAAAGGGCTTAATCATTACTTATCACATTATCATCTTCAAAAAAATTCATGGAATAAATTGTGAATAAGTGCAATGCAAATAAACCAAGAAGATACTTTTCTAAAAAATTATTATACTATGGAGAGTATAAATTCTATTCCTGATGCTTTGTTTATATTTATATTTACTTTGTAAGTGGCATAAACAGGGGAAGAAAACATGAAAAGAGGATGTAGAAATTTGACTATTCAAACATAAAAAAGTCACCAAACTTATCTATTTGCTCTCATTTTTTCTCAAATACTACACGTTTGAAGACATTTTGACTTTTATAGGTATGGCCTTTTCCCATCAAATGCCTTCCCTCATTTGCAGTGTCACACTACATGAAAACAGTATATTCTTCTCAAATATTGAATGCCTCTTTTATGTCATATGCTTTTACATGTTTTACTGGAATATTCATGACTGCTCCATAAGGAAAATATTAGTATCTCCATTTTACAGACAGAGGACACCAAGGTTCAGAAATGTTCACGCACTTGCTGAAGGCACATCCCTGTTACTGGCAGAGCCAGAATTTGAAGCAAGACTGCCCATAAATCCTAGGTGCTCTCATAGTACCTGTCAGATGACATAGTCAAACCTAAAGAGCATGATTAGAAATATGCACTGAATAGCTTCCCCACTAAAGAAAGTGAATTGAGATCATGTCTTTATAACTTGCTTGGCTAATTAGCATTACGAAAAAATAACTGCTCTGCTTTCAAGAACATTAAAATTTCCACTACCCTGCAGTTCACAGAAGAGCTTTACTTCATTTTTCTCCTTTACAAATAAGGAGAAAGAGATACAAGCTTTTAGAAGTGAAAAAAAAAAGTTTTTTAAGACCTTAAACATTCTCATCACAAGAAAAAAATTTTCTGTGTATGCTGATGGATGTTAACTAGGCTTATTGTGGTGATCATTTTGCAACATATACAAATATATCATGTATTCCTAAAATGCACATATTATATTGTCAATTATACCTCCATTTTTTTTGGTATCACTAATCTACAATTACATGAGGAACATTGATTACTAGACTCCCCCCATCACCAAGTACCCCCCACAAACCCCATTACAGTCACTATCCATCAGCATGTAAGATGTTGTAGAATCACTACTTGTTTTCTCTGTGTTGCACAGCCCTCCCTGTGCCCCCACCACCACACATTATACATGCTAATCATAATGCCCCCTTTCTTTTTAGCCCACCCTTATCCCACCCTTCCCACCCATCCTCCCCAGTCTGTTAGTCCATTCTTGGGTTCTGTGATTCTGCTGCTGTTTTGTTCCTTCAGTTTTTTCTTTGTTCTTATACTCCACATATGAGTGAAATCAGGTACTTGTCTTTCTCTGCCTGGCTTATTTCACTGAGCATAATACCCTCTAGCACCATCCATGTTGTTGCAAATGATAAGATTTGTTTTATTCTTATGGCTGAATAATAATATTCCACATTGTATATGTACCACATCTTCTTTATCCATTCATCTACTGATGGACACTTAGGTTGCTTCCATTTCTTGGCTATTGTAAATAGTGCAGCGATAAACATAGGGGTGCACCTTTCTTTTTCAAACAGGGCTGCTGCATTCTTAGGGTAAATTCCTAGAAGTGGAATTCCTGGGTCAAATGGTATTTCTATTTTTAGTTTTCTGAGGAACCTCCATACTGCTTTCCACAATGGTTGAACTAGTTTACATTCCCACCAGCAGTGTAGGAGGGTTCCCCTTTCTCCACAGCCTTGACAACATTTGTTGTTGTTTGTCTTTTGGATAGTGGCCATCCTTACTGGTGTGAGGTGATATCTCATTGTGGTTTTAATTTGCATTTCTCTGATGACTAGCGATGTGGAACATCTTTTCATATGTCTGTTGGCCATCTGAATTTCTTCTTTGGAGAACTGTTTGTTCAGCTACTCTGCCCATTTTTTAATTGGATTACTTGCTCTTTGTCTGTTGAGGTGCATGAGCTCTTTATTTATTTTGGATATCAAGCCTTTATTGGATCTGTCTTTTATGAATATATTCTCCCATACTGTAGGATGCCTTTTTGTTCCATTGGTGGTGTCCTTTTCTGTACAGAATCTTTTCAGCTTGATATAGTCCCACTTGTTCATTTTTGCTTTTGTTTCCCTTGCCCAGGGAGATAAGTTACATTCATGAAGAAGTTGCTCATGTTTATGTCCAAGACATGTTGCCTATGTTTTTTTCTAAGAGTTTTATGGTTTCATGACTTACACTCAGGTCTTTGATCCATTTCGAATTTACTTTTGTGCATGTGGTTAGACAGTGATCCAGTTTCTTGCATTCTCTTACATGTAGCTGTCCAGTTTTGCCAGCACCATCTGTTGAAGAGACTGTCATTTCCGCATTGTATGTCCATGGCTCCTTTATCATATATTAATTGACCATTATATGTTTGGGTTAATATCTGGACTCCCTATTCTGTTCCACTAGTCTGTGGCTCTCTTCTTCTGCCAGTACCAAATTGTCTTGATTACTGTGGCTTTGTAGTAGAGCTTGAAGTCAGGAAGCGAGATTTCCCCGACTTTATTCTTCCTTCTCAGGATTGCTTTGGCTATTCGGGGTCTTTGCTGATTCCATATGAATTTTTGAACTATTTGTTCTAGTTTGTTGAAGAATGCTGTTGGTACTTTGATAGGGATTGCATCAAATCTCTATATTGCTTTGGACAGGATGGCCATTTTGACAATATTAATTCTTCCTAACCAAGAGCATGGGATGAGTTTCCACTTGTTAGTGTCCTCTTTAATTTCTCTTAAGAGTGTCTTGTAGTTTTCAGGGTATAGTTCTTTCACTTCCTTGGTTAGATTTATTCCTAGGTATTTTATTCTTTTTGATGCAATTGTGAATGGAATTGTTTTCCGGATTTCTCTTTCTGCTAGTTCATCATTAGTGTATACGAAAGCAACAGATTTCTGTGTATTAATTTTGTATCCTGCAACTTTGCTGCATTCCGATATTAGTTGTAGTAGTTTTAGAGTGGAATCTTTAGGGTTTTTTATGTACAATACAGTTTAACTTCTTCATTGCCAATCTGGATGCCTTGCATTTCTTTGTTTTGTCTGATTGCTCTGGCTAGGACCTCCAGTACTATGTTGGATAACAGTGGGGAGAGTGGGCATCCCTGTCTTGTTCCCAATCTTATAGGAAAAGCTTTTAGCTTCTCATTGTTAAGTATGATGTTGCCTGTGGGTTTCTCATATATGGCCTTTATTATGTTGCGGTACTTGCCCTCTATACCCATTTTGTTGAGAGTTTTTATCATGAATGGATGTTGAATTTTGTCAAATGCTTTTTCAGCATCTATGAAGATGATCATGTGGTTTTTGTCCTTCCTTTTGTTGATATGGTGGATGATGTTGATGGATTTTCAAATGTTGTACCATCCTTGCATCCCTGGGATGAATCCCACTTGGTCATGGTGTATGATCCTGTTGATGTATTTCTGAATTCACTTAGCTAATATTTTGTTAAGTATTTTTGCATCTATGTTCATCAGGGATATTGGTCTGTAATTTTCTTTTTTGGTGGGGTCTTTGCCTGGTTTTGGTGTTAGAGAGATGCTGGCTTCATAGTATGAGTTTGGAAGTATTCCCTCCTCTTTCATTTTTTGGGAAACGTTAAAGGAGAATGGGTATTATGTCTTCTCTGTATGTCCGATAAAATTCCGTGGCATATCAAACTGGCTCATGGGTTTTGCTCTTGGAGAGTTTTTTGATTACAGATTCAATTTTGTTGCTGGTAATTGGTCTGTTTAGATTTTCTCTTTCTTCCTTGGTCAGTCTTGGAAAGTTGTATTTTTCTAGGAAGTTGTTCATTTCTTCTAGGTTTTCCAGCTTGTTTGCATATAGATTCTCATAGTGTTCTCTAATGATTCTTTGTATTTCTGTGGGGTCCGTCATGATTTTTCCTTTCTCGTTTCTGATTATGTTGATGTGTGTTGATTCTCTTTTTCTCTTCATAAGTCTGGCCAGGGGCTTATCCATTTTGTTTATTTTCTCAATGAACCAACTCCTGGTTTCATTGATTTTTTTCTATTGTTTTATTCTTCTCAATTTTATTTATTTCTTCTCTGATCTTTATTATGTCTCTCCTTCTGCTGACTTGGCCTCATTTTTCTTCTTTTTCCAATTTCAATAATTGTGACTTTAGACTATTCATTTGGGATTGTTCTTCCTTCTTTAAATAGGCCTGGATTGCTATACACTTTCTGCTTAGAACTGCCTTCGCTGTGTCCCACAGAAGTTGGGGCTTTGTGCTGTTGTTGTCATTTGTCTCCATATATTGCTTGATCTCTGTTTTAATTTGGTCATTGATCCATTGATTATATAGGAGCATGTTGTTAAGCCTCCATGTGTTTGTGAGCCTTTTTGTTTTCTTTGTACAATTTATTTACAGTTTTATGCCTTTGTGGTCTGAAAAATTGGTTGGTAGAATTTCAGTCTTTTTGAAATTACTGAGGCTCTTTTTGTGGCCTAGTATGTGGTCTCTTCTGGAAAATGTTCCATGTGCACTTGAGAAGAATGTGTATCCTGCTGCTTTTGATGTAGAGTTCTGTAGATTTCTGTTAGGTCCATCTGTTCTAGTGTGTTGTTGAGTGCCTCTGTGTCCTTACTTATTTTCTGTCTGGTGGATCTGTCCTTTGCAGTGAGTGGTGTGTTGAAGTCTCCTAAAATGAATGCATTGCATTCTATTTCCTCCTTTAATTCTTCTAGTATTTGTTTCACATCTGTTGGTGCTCCTGTATTGGGTGCATATATGTTTATAATGGTTATATCCTCTTGTTGGACTGAGCCCTTTATCATTATGTAATGTCCTTCTTTATCTCTTGTTACTTTCTTTGTTTTGAAGTCTATTTTATCTGATACTAGTACTGCAACACCTGCTTTTTTCTCCCTATTGTTTGTATGAAATATCTTTTTCCTTCTCTTGACTTTTAGTCTGTGTATGTCTTTGGGTTTGAGGTGAGCCTCTTGTAAGCAGCATATAAATGGGTCTTGCTTTTTTATCCATTCTGTTTCTCTGTGTCTTTTAATTGGTGCATTCAGTCCATTTACATTTAGGGTGATTATTGATAGATATGTACTTATTGCCATTGCAGGCTTTAGATTCATGGTTACCAAAGGTTCAAGGGTAGCTTCTTTAATATCTAACCATCTAACTTAACTCGCTTATTAAGCTATTATAAACACAGTTCAATGATTCTTTATTTCTCTCTCTTTTTATACCTCCTCCTCCATTCTTTATATGTTAGGTCTTTTATTCTGTACTCTTTTGTGTTTCCTTTGACTGCTTTTGTGAGTAGTTGATTTTATTTTTTGCCTTTAGTTAGTGTTTGGTTGGTCTCCTTTCTTTGGTGTGATTTTATTTTCTCTGGTGACATCTATTTAGCCTTAGGAGTGCTTCTATCTAGAGCAGTCCCTTAAAATATCCTGTAGAGGTGGTTTGTGGGAGGCAAATTCCCTCAACTTTTGCTTGTCTGGAAATTGTTTAATCCCTCCTTCATATTTAAATGATAATTGTGCTGGATACAGTATTCTTGGTTCAAGGCCCTTCTGTTTCACTGCATTAAATACATCGTGCCATTCTCTTCTGGCCTGTAAGGTTTCTGTTGAGAAGTCTGATGATAGCCTGATGGGTTTTCCTTTGTAGGTGACCTTTTTTCTCTCTAGCTGCCTTTAAAACTCTGTCCTTGTGCTCGATCTTTGCCATTTTAATTATTATGTGTCTTGGTGTTGTCCTCCTTGCGTCCCTTGTGTTGGGAGATCTGTGAGATTCCATGGTCTGAGAGCCTATTTCCTCCCCCAGTTTGGGGAAGTTTTCAGCAATTATTTCTTCAAAGACACTTTCTATATCCCTTTTTCTCTCTCTTCTTCTTCTTCTGGTACCCCTATAATGTGGATATTGTTCTGTTTGGATTGGTCACACAGTTCTCTTAATATTCTTTCATTCCTGGAGATCCTTTTATCTCTCTCTGCCTTAGCTTCTCTGTGTTCCTGTTCTCTGATTTCTATTCCATTAACAGCCTCTTGCACCTCATCCAGTCTGCTCTTAAGTCCTTCCAGAGATTGTTTTATTTCTGTATTCTCCCTCCCAACTTTATCTGTTAGCTCTTGCATATTTCTCTGCTGCTCCATCAGCATGGTTATGACCTTTATTTTGAATTCTTTTTCAGGAAGATTGGTTAAATCTATCTCCCCAGGTTCCCTCTTGTGGGTTGTCTGGGTAATTCTGGACTGGATAAAATTCTTCTGCCTTTTCATGGTGATAGAGGTTGCTGTAGGCAGGTAGTGCATGTGTCAGCTGGGAGAACAAAATCTCTTCCTGCTTGCTGGTCTCTTTGCCCTTCTCCACTGCCTGTGCCGGTTACCTGCACACAGGGAGCAGCTTCTGGTTTTATTTCCTGAACTGCTGTGTGCAGGGCAGCTGTCAGGGAAGCCCAGAGCCCTGCGGGAAGTGGCAGGCATGCCGGTTGTGCTCTCCTGCAAGAACAGCAACCCTTCGCGCCTTGTCCCAGCTTCCTCTGTCTGTGCCGGTCAGCCACACACTGACAGGGCCTCTGTGTCTGGCCCAGGTAGCTGTGGAGGAGGCTCTGGGCAGCTGCTGTGGGTGTGGCCACTCTCAGGCTGCTCCCTTGCTGTGGTGGGGCCGCACCAGAGGGGGAATGGATGGGAGGCTGTTTATCACCGCGAGAGGCTTCTGAGCTGCACTGCCACCCAGGGGGTCAGGGTGCTCAAAGTTCCCCGGGATTCCCAGCCTGCTGGGCCGAGTGTGCCGGGACGATTCCGTCCAGCTGTGGAGCCCCTGTCCCTTTAAGACTTTCAAAAAGCACTGACTTTTCTTTTGTCCCAGGGGTGCCAACTGTGTAAACCCGCTCGCAGGTTTTACTGTTCCATTTCCCTAATATCCAGCACACTATGCACTGTGTGCACTCCCAGTGCAGATGACTAGGGCTGGGTATTTAGCAGTCCTGGGCTCCCTCTCCCTCCCTGCTCTTACTCCTTTCCTCCCACTGTTGAGCTGGTGTCAGGGTCGCACTTGGGTCCTGCCAGGCCGCGGCTTGTATCTTACCCCCTTCGTGAGATGCTGAGTTCTCACAGATGTAGATGTAGCCTCACTGTTGTATCTTCTGGTCTTTCTTTTAGGAATAGTTGTATTTGTTGTATTTTCAAAAATATATATGGTTTTGGAAGGATATTTCAGCTACCCTATTCATGCCACCATCTTGGCTCCTCCCATCTATACATCCATTTTTTAAAATGTTTTTTAGATGTGAGAGTTTAAAATAGCTCCAAAACATGTTACTTATGAGATGGCTATTTTAAAAGGAATTTTAAATTGTTTTTCTTTATCCTTTGCAGTAAATTTGCCTCTTGCCTCCTTCATCTGACCACCATTGACTCTGTGAACTGTAACCTAATTGAAAGATACTCCTGAGAACAAGCTGATGTTTTTGCTTTTATCTCAGGTACCATAGTCACCCCATCTGAAGATGACCCTGAAGGCTGTGACAGCTATGATGACAGACAGGCAGGAAATCTCTCTGGGAAGCTAACTAAAACCACAGAACAAGATAAGCTGTCTGGCAATGGGGATGATGAGGTTACTCTGATGTATACAGTTGGAGCAAAAGAAGAGAATTACAGATTTCAAGGTAAGTGAGCACAGCAGTGATCACACTGTGATGGTTGGTGAGGGGAAGGGGCCTGTTCTAGGTGTAGAAGCTGTTTCCAGAAGAAGGTTTATTTCCTATGAATCTAAAGAGGAAATATCAATATCTGGTTGGGTGTGCTCTTCACAGTCCTCTATGCCTTTTGAAAAGCATGTGTTTGGTCATTTTATGCACACTAGGATTTTTATTTCCCAGTGTTACTCTGAATACAAGTCCTGAAATTTACATATGCATTCTCCAGGCATGATGTAGGTTGGGTATCCTCAGAGATAATCAAATTCATCTCTACCATCGATAATAGAGCACAGTTTCCATGACTTTAATGTCTCTAGACTGCAGCTTGACTGTCTTACTGAAGTGGAACTTTGCCTGCAAATAAGAACTTTTCCCTTTTATCCTGATGCCCTCTTTGAAGAATTAAGATTAGGTGGGACAGTGCACTTTCGTGTGTATTTTGAACAATTAGAGTATGTGTTATGGATCTAGGTCATCCTAGATCATACTTGGAAGACTTTTTCTATAAAGGGAAAGATAGTTAATATTTAGGCTTGGTGGCCACATATGATCTATTACATATTCTCTTTTTTTTATATACCTCTTTAAAAAATGTACAAATCATGCTCACACACAGGATTTGGTCTGTGGGCTACAATTTGCCTTCCCCTGACTTTTGGGAAGTGAACTTGACAAGAACACCAATGGTCTATGTAAATAAGACATTTCTGAGCTTCTTTTCCCCTAACAAAATGTAGAAAGATTTTTCATATCAGACTCTGTATTTGTCAGTGAGCCACCTTCTAATTGTGCTTTTTCTAGTGAACACAGTCCAGAAGCACTGAAAGGAGCATGTCCAACTAAAATGTGTGTCGAGGTGTCAGAACACTGATGCCAATGGTGTGGGCCTCGAGCACATCATACCAGTAGAGCAAGTATAGGAAACTCAACTATGCTTGTGGTCATTACCTTGCAGATAACTTATTTCTAGAGAAGGCTATGCAGCTTGCCAAGCGCCACGCCAATGCCCTTTTTGACTACGCAGTGACAGGAGATGTGAAGATGCTGCTGGCTGTCCAGCGCCATCTCACTGCAGTGCAGGATGAGAACGGGGACAGGTAAGTCGGGACTTTGGCAAACAAGGGTTGTTTTAGGTAGGGAGGAGAGAAAAGTGTTGTATGCATTCTAGCTAGAGACAAAAAGAATTGTTCAAAGCCGCTGGGTCCTGTGACTGGAACACTCTCTCAAGGGAAGGAATGTGTCACTGAGGCTGAAGAGCATAATTTCTTCCCCTGTCCTGTGGCTCTGGCCCATTGGACAAAGAACAGCGAGACTACATCTAAGAGTACATGCTTATGGGCAAGAAAACTAAGCTGAGGGGGGAATGGGACTTTTTGAAAAGCCTTGCTTTATTTATTGGAGTGATATTTAGTAAGCAAACATTTGGTCCAACAGGTCCCCACAGGGCGTGTCATTCCCAGTTGCACGTTTGTGATGCCAATGTACCTGAGAGAAAGCTCCGCAAACACAGTGTGACAACAGCAACACAGTGACTGAGGGGTCCTTGTCATTCCTCCCCAGCCCTGGTTCCTTCCTCACTGCCTTTCAGTGTCACCAGTCTGTGACCAGACTGCACTGCTGTGGCTGCTCAGGCCCCATCATGTGGCAGCCTGACATTCCAAACGCCGTGCCTCCCACTTCTGCTGTTTCTGGGCTTACATATGAAAAGCCACCTGTCTGCTTCTAAAACGGTTCTCAATCCTTTCAAAAAGACTTCTGCAATGATCTCAAAAGCCTGTAAACATACCAAGACAGCAGCCCTCAGATTCAAGTCAGGTGCCTTATCTAAAACCTTCCTAAAATAGTATCAACACTAAGAAATCCTTTTCTATGGAAGAGCTCTTGAGTGCTGTGTTTTAAACCTCAGTTTAAAACTTGAATCAAATGCTTCAGGAAAGTGCCAACCTCAGGGTTTCAAACAGAGACCTTTGTTCTCATTCCTTGCAGTGTAACCAAGGATGTGGTATAACCACTGGCCTTGTTATGCAGTATGTGAGGAACTGGTACAACCTTCTTTGTGTAATGCTGTGAACAGCCAACTGTGTTTTACAGGGTTAAATAATCCAATTAGCATTCAATTGCATATAGCCACAAGAGAAAGCAGTTAACCAAGACAAGACAGTGGTGTTTCAAGCGACATTTTTAGGGGCTGAATTGAACCTAAGAAAGAAGAGCACATACAAGCTAGAAAGGGACTGTTGAAAGGGTTACAAAGTATATGCGTGCAAGTGGGTGCACTGAGGGGAAAGCACACACACATGTATGGTTCCTGGACACGTATGGAGGGGCCAATGAGGTGGCCTTCTCCCCCCAAGCAGAAAATGAATGCTTAGAGTTCCTTCCTAGGACCCCAAACATACTCCTACAAGTGAGAGGACAGCTAGATGAGACATGGGGGGGGCCAAAGAGGAGTCCTTTTAAGAATGTGGACAAGGGATAACTGTTGGCCTTCACAGCTCAGGCCTCATGTTTGGATTGAACTTGCCATATTCAGCTAATCTGAATCCTGTGGACATTAGTCATCACAGAAAATACAATAAAGAAAAAAAATAATAAAAACTTCTGGTATTGGGGAAAGTCCCATTGGGTGTGAGGATTTATGGAGGAGGGGAAATGTACTTCTGCTATGAAATGCTTAACTGCCCAGGGAAATTTTTAGGCAGTTTTCAAAGTACTGGGCTGTCTTAGTATACGTGCATCATGCCCGTGTCAGATGGTAAGCACTTCTCAGGAGTCATCTTCCAGCCTCGTATTTCAAGAGACGTGGTGAAACCCTGAAAGCACTATCTGAAAGTCTGTCTCAAGTAATTGAGTCACATGTTAGTTTGCTAGGCCCTCCTGTGCAGTTGTCACTCCCAAGTAAAATGTACTTGCTGTTGCTAAGAAAGTGGCCTGAATAAAATGATACCTAATAGCTTTAATTAAACATTCAGCCTGTGCCTCAAATCCCAGATGTATTGACACCATGTTATACTTTTAAGTGTGCTCTGCCTCGCAGTCTGTCCATACTGTGGAATAGTTATCGTCTTAGATATTCATCTGCAACTCTGCAGAGTAGTGCACACGTACTCAAGCAGGATAGTTTATGGAGTTAAGAGACAGCTTTGGAGCAAGACAGACCTGACTTGAATCCCAGTTTTGCCACTCACTAGTTATGTGACCTGGGTTGAGTTCTGTTATACCTACAAATCTCAGTGTTATCATCTGAAAAATGAGGATACTATTGCCGACCACACAGGATTATTGTTATAGCAAATAATGTACATCAGATGCTTAGCATCAGCTGGTGAATGGGCACTCTAAACAAATAGTAACCACTTTTATTGTTATTGTTGAGTCACTTCTAATTAATTGTAAAGGTATGGTTTTTTACAATGAAAAAACCTTTGTCCCTGGAAGTGGTGCTTGGTACTCACCACTATTTTTGGCCTCATTCGTATAAGCCCTTGGGTTCATTCTAACATACTGACCTTCAGAGCCTAAATTGTGTGCCAGGGCTATAAGGCTGAGCCAGAGAACCAGCCCCAGTGGAGGTCACCAGCCGAAGAGGCAGAGAGGCCTGCAGAAAACTTGCATAACCAAGCAGTAAACTGAAGGGACTCTACGTGCTCTGCCTAAGTTGCTGAGAGAAGATGTAAGGTTTGAATTGGAATATGAAGGATGGAGTAGGCTTTGCCCAGGCAGAGGGAATAATTGAGGGTGAAAAATATAATCACATTGTTCCTTCAGAAGTTTGCCTCAGATCTCTTCTCTCAGTAACGAAAAGCCTGGATCCATTTTCCCTCTTGGCATCTAGGAAGATCTTTAAAAAGCCACTACACTGTATTTTGGAGGAGGGTGGCAGGGCTAAGTGATGTAACTGCATTTTTTTTGGAACAGTTCCTACTGCCAGGCATTTTATGTGTATCATCTGTATGTCAAGGGAAGTCAGAAAAGCTAGAGCAGAAAAGGTCCTGAAACCACAGTGCAGTGGCAGGATTGGGATTTGAATTTAGGTCTCTTCGCCTCAAAGCCTGGGTGCCTTTATACCTCAAAGAGTCCAACATGCATGTCCCCAGAGCCAGGCAGGCACCATAAATGAGGAGAGCAGTCTTAGGTCAGCAACAGAACATCCCCGCCTCATATTCAAGACACTTTATACATTCAAACCATTTGGGGGCCAAGGTATGAAAGCCAAGTTCAGTCTGCATATCTAATCATATGTTGGGAATCTTTGTCTTCTTATTAAAACTTTAGCTGATTACTGCCACTATGTTTTCATTCCAGTGTCTTACACTTAGCAATCATCCACCTTCATGCTCAGCTTGTGAGGGACTTGCTAGAAGTCACATCTGGTTTGATTTCTGATGACATTATCAACATGAGAAATGATCTCTACCAGGTAAGCAGACATACCGTGGAGAGAACTGAAGAAAAATCCATAAATTGCACGTACACATACGTGTGTCTGTACCTGTTATTTCTAATAATATTAACAGGAGAAAAATTCAACAAAATACTTTGTTTTGTGTTAATACTCTAAAAGGCCATTACTTGGGAATGTTATTTTATGCATTAGGATTCTTTAACCTGTGGGTATAAATAGCAAGTACCCCACAATGAAATTTCAGCATCCTGTTGAGGAAAGACAAACTTTGAACTTCAGAAATCTGTTAAGAGTCTCCACTGTTTTCCCCTTCTTTTTTTATTGAAGTATAATTGACATAATAATAGTTTCAGGTGTACAACATAATGACATGATATTGATCACCAAAATAAGTTTTGTCACCATCTGTCACCACAAAGTCATCAATTTTTTTGTGATGAGAACTTCTAAGATCTACTCTTGGCAATTTTCAAATATGCAGTGCAGTACTATTAGCTAGTAACTACACTGTACATTATATCTCCATGACATTTATTTCATAACTGGAAGTTTGCACCTTTCAACCCCTTTCACCCGTTTATCCACCCACTACTCCCAACCCTAGCCAAGCCATTTTAGAATGAGAACCTAGAGTAAATAAGGCACATCTGTCAAGAAAAAGAAAATTGAAAAACATTGAAGAGTCAATAATATACAAGAATCCTGAAGTCTACTGAAACACATTTTGACATAAAGATTAAAACATATATTAAATAAAGGATCCTGGAATCAAAACACAGAAAGGTAAAAGGTTGCTTGAGGAGGGGATAATGTCTTTCAAAACCAGAAAGACAGTTCAAAGTGAGGTAAAAGGAGAACACTGAAGATTTTTGCCCAAATCAGGTTTAAAGAGAAATTAGGTGGACTCAAAAGCACCTGGAGGAACTAACTCTGTTGCAGAGGTCTCCAGATACTGCTGAGAGAGAAGGGAGCTGGAGATGTAATGAGGCTGCCTGACAGGCACAAGCAGATTTCAGGGGAGGAAAAGATACTGAAACTTCTTGGGCAGAACCAGCGCCTGTATCCCAGGGGTTGGGAGGTGGAGAGCTGGGCCAGCCTTTGGCCAAAGGACAACACTACCACATGCACCGGGAGCAGGGCTCGCTCTACAGGGCTGCCCCCTCCTCCCCGAGGGGCGCTTTCCCTCCTGGCTGTCTTTCCCCTGCCCTACTGGCTCCTGGCCTCATGCCCTCTTCAGCCTCCTGTTCCCTTCACTTTGCCCCCAGTGACCTCCCAGTCCTCCTCGGCCCAGGTGGTGTGTTCCGATGCCTCATATAAGCATATCTCCCTGTCTCAAAATATGGACAACAATCATGTACAATTATTTGCACAGTAAAGGTGCCAGTCCTAGTTCTTAATTTTAAAAGTAGGCTACGTGAATCATTTTTATGTTCTCAAAGCAAAAGTGCTAAAATGTTTATATGTAGCTCTCAAGAGATTTTTATCTGTGAATAGGCATTTCCTGATAAGAGAAAATAAGTTTCCCATTTGATGTAAGGCTTTAGGCCTCTTCCTCTGGCTGTCATGCGTAATGTCAAAAGAAAAATGAAGTTGGGGATTCTTTACTGACTCAGAATATAAAATAACTAGGGTGACGTCTAATTTTAGATAGACATTGAAAGGGTATCTTCTCAAAATTTTCATACCATCTCAGCAGTTGATAGTATTTGTGAAGGCGTTTGACCCATAAAGCTTGATTCTTTCAGGTTTTTGGACTGATTACTTCTTTTTAACCCTCACAATTGTACTAATAAAACTAGGAACAGGATATTGCTGCTTCTCAGTTCTCATTTCAAAGACTGCTTAACTTCATTGCCTGTAGGTCAGATTCAAGGAATTACTTGTTTTTCTGTTTATAAATAGGACCTGCAGAGGACACCACACAACAGGGTTAGTAGTTGTGATTTATGATGTGCTAAACTCCTTCCTGCATCTTTGGTTACATATATTGAGGCTCCCCCATGTGCTAGAGGCAAAATACTTGAAACTGCCACTTCGGGCCCTTCCGTGCCTTCTGATTTGGGGACTCTCAGGAGAATACAGGTTCATTTTTCCCCTCCTTACACTGTTCTCACTGGTGGGCAAGGATCTGGATCCCCTTGTATGCCTTTTAGGTCTCAAATGCCACCCAGTGGCAACTTTGAACTAGAAAAGGCTAAGATTTGGACTTTCATTTATCTGTCATAAAGGTTCCCTATTAACTATACCTAATGGAAAAATCATACAGTTCTCTTAAGTAATTTGGATTATTTGGCAATTGTCTTAGACAGTCTCCCAAAATACCACTCACTAATTCTAGTACATTTTGTGACCATCTGTCATGATCAAATCTCCCTCCCCACCCACCCTCTAGATCCACACACAAAATAATCCAAGTGCATAGAGTTAGGATTTTTCTGAAAATATTTCTGACATCTATTGCCTTTAATCCCCATTCTTCTCTCCCAGCCCCCTCCCCCAAAATAGACAACTACCTCAGTGTTTGATAGGGGTAGTTTTAAATGCATATGTTCATATAGAACATTAGTGGGGTTTTTAGTGCATGTATTTTTTCTTTTATATTCTTATTGCAAATATATATTCCTCATTTTTCAGTGGTACACAAGAAAATACACTAGATAATCAAAGTTGCCCTCCCTTGGCAGCATGCAAGTCTCCCAGCCCCATTCCCAAATATAACTATTCTATTTGTATTTTTCCAGATATTAGCTACATAAGCATATTTACTTTAAGTATATAGGTATTTTAGTCTCCTCTCACACAGAGTCTACATCATATTATACATAGTGCTCTTGCTCTACATTAACCTTTTAATTTTTAATTGGATATAATTATAGATTCATGAGCAGTTGCCAAAAAGTACCCTTCACCCAAGTTTCCCCAGTGCTAGCATCTTGCATAACTGTAAAACGGTATCAAAACCAGGACGTTGACATGAGTACAATCCACAGATCTTATTTGGGCTTCACCAATTTTACATGCACTCATTTGTGTGTGTAGAGTTCTTTCTGCATTTTTTTTAATGCATGAGTAGCTTTGTTCTACACATCAATATATATGCCTTTGATATATATAGATCTGTCTATGCAGTTGTGTGTACAGCTAGTACACTTCCTATTCCTGAAGGGAATTCTATAGTGTACATCTTCCACCTATAATGTACCTGTTCCCCAGCAGTAGACACTTAGTAAGCTTTTTGCTTCCCACCTCCATAGATAATGCTGCAAAGAATATGCTCATCTACATCCCCTTGTAGATTGTGTCACTCAGATATATATGTATGAGTTGGGCTGGGAGGCTTTTGTGTATCTGGTTCTCCACAGTGTCTGTATCAGTCCACACATTCACAAGCATAGCATGAGGGTTTCTGGATCTCCACACTGTGTAACTGTTTAAGATATAATTCTGGGATTTAAGATCTAAAGCCTGAAATATCACAGAAAACCTTTGATGTGACCATGGAAGAAAACTTTTTTTAAAAAAGTTTCTCTTACTCATGGTGAGAGAATTTGTGTAATTTGAAAAAATTATATTAGAAGTAATTCCTAATTTCTGAATAGTATATTATAATTTCAGATCTTTTTTACAATCTCATTCTTTTTCAGACTTTCCTCATCTCCCCAAATGGAATTTCATGTTAATAAATACAGCCTTTTGTTACTTACTAATTTTTCAAGAGGAAACCTCTTAGCCTCAGAATGTAAAGTTTTGAAAACATCATTCCATTTCAAGCGGGGGTATAGTCCTAAAAGATGAAAAAACATGAGAGTGGAAATTTGGCAAAAAACCTTGTCTTGTTTCTGCTGTATTAAACAATCACTGTAATGAAGACTTAGCTGGCCAGCGCATCTTTCACCCAGCTCTGAAGTGCTGTGCTTGCTCTGCACCTGCCCAGATGCTGGGTGGCCCACCTGCTGTCGCTGCTGCAGCCAGTAACTGCTCACTGAGAGGGCAAGTTTAGGCAAATTGTCACCAGACAGACTGGATTTCACAGGCTCCTCTGAAATAGACTGATTTGTATAAAAATATATTGCTCTTCTTGGGTGGTAACCTCAATTCTTTGAAAGATACTTTCATGATTGTGTTTATCTTGGTCATTTTAAAAACAAAGTTTTCAAAACATCTCATTTGGATTCACTGAGGCACCACTTTGCGGGCAGAGTGATCAAATAACTATTTATGTTCCTATTGGGTGTCAGCAGCTCATCTTGTTTGTTCATCCGAGCCTTCTTGGTGAGATGGTTCTTTTGTCCTGATTATGACTTTCAGCATCTTCTGACACCTTTTTTAAGATGGGGGTGCAAGAGTTCTACTGATTGGTCTCATGAAGCCAGTCCATGGAACAGTATTTTTAATTTAGCAAATTTATTTCCCATGGCATATAGAAGGCCAGCACCTTTTGTTAACTACTTTCTATTGAGTAGTTCACTTCAACTTCTTCAGTAAAACCACAGCCTTGATTTGATTTTGTTAACATATGGTATTATCAGCTGAAGATAGATTCCTATAAGAAATTCAAGAAAACTAAATTTATGATTAGCTGAGTTAACATATCAACAATCAGTGGACTGTAGTAAAGAACAATAAAACTATTAAGAATTATAATCTTAAATAAATGGCTAAATATTAGTCCATTAATGGACACATGATGTGACACAGAGAGTAACTTATTTTTAAAGGTGGGAGTTAATCTGGGAATGGGAAATGGCCCCGCAGTATGACTCCAGTATTGCAGCGGCAGCTGCTAAGTTGAAGGGTTACAGGTGTTTGCTGCTGACCAGTATCTGTCTCTTCTCTGCTTCCCAGACGCCCTTGCACTTGGCAGTGATCACCGAGCAGGAGGCTGTGGTGGAGGACTTGCTGAGAGCGGGAGCCGACCTGAGCCTCCTGGACCGCTTGGGTAACTCTGTTTTGCACCTAGCTGCCAAAGGAGGACATGACAGACTTCTCAGTATTTTACTCAAGCACAAAAAGGCGGCACTACTTATCGACCTCCCCAATGGGGAAGGTAAGAGACAGTCACACATCACAGTGTGACATTATCTGTTTTCCAGCCAGTTAGTAGGTGTTTGATAAATGCGTTTATTGGTTTGCACCCGACAGTGCTTTCCTTAGTCACCTGGAGTTCATCATCTTTTATGAGAACTTGCTTGCCGTAGCTAATCCCTTTAAAGATGATTTGGAATAGCTAGTAGGAGGGAAAAGCAGAATCTTGAAGTGTAGAAAGCATCATTTATTTGGAGAATTTTTATGTGCTACCAGTGTCTCCTGAGAACATAAAAGGAGATTGTGGGTTTACATGCAGAATGACAGATTTACAGCACCTTTAAAGGCTCTCTGGAGCAAAGACTCTCAGCACTAGATGCTGACCCCAGCAGCATCCCATCCCTGTGATCCAGTTTTGCCATTGCCTTCAGCTTCACAGAGGGCCGTCTGGGAGAGCCTTCCGACCCCGTGACTGTCTCTGCTTGGGCTGCAGGTCTGAACGCCACCCACATAGCCACGATGAGCAACAGCATGCCCTGTCTGCTGCTGCTGGTAGCCGCTGGTGCGGACGTCAACGCCCAGGAGCGCAAGTCTGGGCGCACGGCACTGCACCTGGCCGTGGAGCACGACAACATCTCCCTGGCTGGCTGCCTGCTCCTGGAGGTGAAGGGCGTGCTTGTTTGCCTTTGCATTAAATCCCCAAGGCAGATTTAGGAAACTCTTTTCAAAGATGAATGCCGGTAATAGCATTTCTCCCTATTGTCAGCTCTATTTTGTTTAGTATCTACTCAAGGCTTCAGAGTGGCAGCTCTGGGCATTCCTATCACCATTTGCCAGACACGTCCAGGTCGGGATATATTCAATGGCAGAGCCTGGCCCAAACAGCAATGGAACAGTAATATAACCTGGGAGGCCATGCAGATGGGAGGTGGGGACAGAAAGGGGAGTGCACGTCCATTAACCCTTTTCTGTGTGGGCTGGGTTTAGGGTGATGCCCATGTAGACAGTACCACCTACGATGGAACTACACCCCTGCACATAGCAGCTGGGAGAGGGTCCACCAGACTGGCAGCTCTTCTCAAAGCAGCAGGTAAGGCGACCTGGCAGATAGTGACAGGAAAAGGTTTCAGGCATGCAAACTCGCTTCAGTAGAGCAGCCATGTCACCTTTAAGCCACAGACCTGCGGCTCAAAGGCATAAGTAAATAAAAGTTCTGTGGAAATCACACTTTAACTGCCCCAAAGGCAGTGTTTGAACTAGCAGTCCTAGGCTTCCTCCTGACAGGTTAGTTTTCACTCTTTAATGAACCTGTTTGTTTTGGACTGTGTGTGTTTATGACGAGATCTTAAAGTTGAATTTAATTCCTTGCAGAACTCTGAGCAGTACCAGCCTCAGATCACATAAAAAGTTCCCCAGAAGAAAAGTTTATTGGTATAAGAAGTAATTATAAGCTTCCTTTTGTAGGAAAGGTCTCTGAGAAGTCAGAATAATAGGAAAAAACGGGTCATGGATTGAGTACTGCCATGTGCAAGGCGCTAGAAATTGTGTACCAAGTACCAGGCACTATGCTAGGCACTTCACACACACTGGCTCATTTAATCCACAGTAGCCCTTTGAGATAAGTACCATTATTGTGTCCCATCTTACAGCCAAGGAAACAGACTAGAGAGACCAGGGTCCCAGGCAGCGCATAGCTGTAAATCACACCCAATCACTCTAAACTTCTGGACTACATTCTCTCTACTGTGTTTCTCTCCCCTGCTTTGCTAAAAGATCACAGGTGTTATTCCATTTAATCCTCTAGTCCTGAGGCGTACCGGAAAGTATTCCTACTCATCCTCATACCTCTGTTGTCTTGTATATTTAGAATCTCAGGAATGTTTAATGAAATTAGTATCACAATTCTTCAACAATAGATTTATTTTAGAGGTTATTAAAATATTTTTAGAAAGTAAACACTTCATAAATTCAAGAAAACAAAGCAGGTTAAATATCTTCTTTAAAAAGTGAGTCCAGGAAGATACAGGAACTTTTTTCTTAGGGGCAGCACATTTTTTTTGGCAAGTAAAATCATATCCCAAATAAGCAGCAGCCTTTTCTCTTTTGTCAACTTGAACTTTTTCTTAAACAAGAGACTCTGATTGCATATACTTTGGGAACTCACTGGTTATAATTAAGAAATGCCTTCAGTCAAGAAGCTATAACCCTTTAAAAAATGCTTTCTCATGAATTCTCAGTATTCCATGGAAGAAGTAGCAAGTAACAATCTCCACAAACTCAGATGGAAAGCTGAATCATGAGCTCAAAGTCATGAAGGTCACTCATGGAACACAGCTCAGCATCTCCCTTCATGGCTGTAAATTGTTCATTAGCTCTAATGAACGTTACTGATTATAAGTTTGTTTCTCCAGTGTTTTCATGGTCAGGAGATACCTCCTGCCTCTTCACAGGTCAGGCTAGGACTGGGAGACAGAAATGAGAAATGGCATTAAGATCCTTCTTTGAGTTGCATTGACACCCTCTTATTATTGAAATTGGCAGAAATATAATGTTCTTCTAGCAGGATAAAAATAAGTTCTTTTCCCCAAAGGATGTGCTGAACTTACTGCTATTCACTAGGCATCCAGCTAAACACTCTCCCATAAACATAGTCTCCGAGCCTTTGAGACATTGACTCTAGCTCTAACCCCTGCTCTTTTGGTGGTTTCTTGCTGCAGGCTGCGGGACAGACTGGATTTTCCAAGATAAACCCTGCATTTTTCAATAACTATACATCCTAGCAGGGTGTTTTTTTGTGGGTTTTCTTTTTCCTTTTTTTGGTGTTTTTCTTTAAGTATCAGGGCCCTGGCAGTGCTCTAGCCAGGAATAAAATGGAACATGTTGCCATCAGACAGCAAGCATATTTGCTCTTTTGAGCAAATGGGAGAAGAGGCTGACAAGTGCAGACTGGTGGCATAAATTTGAACATTTAGGACCTTAATCCTAAGGGGTCACCCCACTCCAGTCCCTGTAAATGGCTGTCATTATGTTCCTCAGATTAATGACGCATCATTCAGTTGAAAACTGGTTTAGAGAGTCAAATGTGAGGGTCAGCGTATTCGAAGTCTTTTGCTTTTAAAAGTGTCCTTGGCTACACAGTGTATCACAGACACCTTTCAGTCAAAACTAATTAGAATTTAAAAGTTCTCTGAATTATTTCAGTAGAAACATATTTTATGTATTAAAACTTATCCAGGTAACTGTCTCCAGTGGCTACTGGGCTTTGCCTTGGGAAATCTGACCCCTGTAGGCAGCTGAAGTTGACAAGACCTGGGTTTACCTAATGCTGTGTGACTTGACTTCACAGGAGCAGATCCCCTGGTGGAGAACTTTGAGCCTCTCTATGACCTGGACGACTCCTGGGAAAAGGATGGGGAGGACGAAGGAGTCGTGCCTGGAACCACACCACTAGATATGGCCACCAACTGGCAGGTGAGTGTGGCTCCCATCTGTTTGATGGCAGCTCCTGAGGGAGCTAACAGTTCAGAATGCAAGAACAGATGGGCTTCTTGGTTATTTATTCCCCAAAGCAGATGCCTTTTATTTTTAAGAAAGTCTGCTTGTCAGGAGCCATATTTAACTTGAAAAGCCTATCCATAGAAGATCTGGGTCAGCAGCATTCTGAGTGTGAAAGCGTGTGCCTCCTCAGATGAGGGCTCCGTTGTGAGAGAGGGCTGGGCCAGAGAAAATGGAAAATTCAGGCAGGAATGTCCCATTGTGAACTCACACCAGAATTGTCCCCATCTCAATTTCCGAAGCTAGAGTAAACGTTATGGTTTGTTTAGAACTTTGGTGAGTGATTTCTGAACAGAAAAAGAAACTGGGGTTCTTCTGAGGATTTCAATAAACATAGAATAAACAGATGGAAAGCTTTCCTCAGAACTCCAGTGAGCTGGGATCTGAAGGCGACAAGCAGTTGCTGGGTGTTTGGAGACAGGGAGAAGAGCCAGAGGGAGGAGGTGGGCAGCCTACAGAGCCCTACGTGACAAAAATGGACTTTCTTAGGGGCACTGCTCCATATCCAGAAACTGCCATTTGTGCCTGCGTGGGTTGAGCTAAGTGACCCTGGCAGAGAGACCACGTGGTTTTCCTTTTACCTCAAGCACCCATCCTTCCCAGAAGCCTCACCACAGAATGCAGAAAGTAACCCACTTCAGTGACCTATGTTGTCCTTACTCAGGCCAGCACCAAGTGACTGCAGAGAACATGAAAGGCCTCTGTAGCTATGGAACTGTTTTTCTTTCAACCTAAGACTTTCTGGCCCCTCAGTTAAAATGCAGATGTGGCAGAAAGCTAACACCAAGCCTTGTGACCATATATATGCCTTGGTTTGAGCAAGTTTATACAACTCATTCCCATAAGCCTTTTACCAGGGAGGAGGGGTGGCAAGGAAGTAAGCTCACAGCTCCGAGTAAGCTCAGCCCTTGCCCTGGCTCTCAGGGAGGCATCACTTACCAGCTACTGCTGGACCAATACATGACTGATTTGGTGGCCCAGACTACCTGTGCCTTAGAAGGACCGCAGCCCTGAGTCTGTGAGCCCCACCCCCCCGGCAGCCCCTGTACCGCACATCCTCCCAAGCCCAGAACTGCCAGGGCCCTTGCCCCACAGGGCACTGGTACTGACTCCTCCCCAATCCTCCATCGGGGGTCCTGGCCCTCCTAACAAGGACATGATGGTCCTTTATTACAAAGAAGCAAGTTCTCTTCATGATGCCTTAATGTGTAATGTTTCCCCATGTTTTTCTTCCCAACAGGTATTTGACATATTAAATGGGAAACCATACGAGCCAGAGTTTACATCCGATGACTCACCGGCGCAAGGTGAGTTGCAGAACTGGGCTCTCTTAACCAGGGTTATCTCCTCACTGTCACTTAACGGGGAGAGGGGGAAGCCAGCATTACCCAGGGTGTCCTGTGAATGGCACAGAGGCTTATTTCAGAATCCGAAGATCGTGAAAGCATGCAAAGGAGAATATCCAGTCATAAGCTAGAATATACACTGCTGTTACTCAGCTGGACTTCTGCCTTCAGTGAAGGAACCTGATCGCTCCCACGAGTCACCGTAGGGCAAGCAGCGTGGCGTGGCCAGTCCCTCTGAAGCCTGTGGCCAACTAGAACTCTGTATTTCTTCTTTTCCTTCAGGAGACATGAAACAGCTGACTGAAGATGCGAAGGTGCAGCTCTACAAGTTGCTAGAAATCCCTGATCCAGACAAAAACTGGGCTACTCTGGCACAAAAATTGGGTCTGGGGATACTAAATAATGCCTTCCGGCTAAGTCCTGCTCCTTCTAAAACGCTTATGGATAACTACGAGGTAACGCATCACCTGAGGTCCTTGACCATCTTCATTCGATACCACTGACCTGGCACAGTTCCCTTCCCTCTTCCCCCTTGAGGAAGGAATCAGTCCTCACCCTGGAGGCGCACCAGGCCAGGATGGAACCCACCTTCCTAACAAGGCTGTTTTCAGATACCTTGAGATTTCCTGTAATAATGTCATTGGGAGGTCAGGGTTGTTACGGGACAAGCGCTAGACTGTGATCAATATGGCGCACATCTTCCTGTCTGAGACTGGGCCTTGGCCACGTGTCAGGAGCTCTCTGGGACGCGATGCTCTCATTTCTAGAACTAAAAGATAGAAAAACAAGGGGTGAAATTATTTGCTGCTGAAATGTTGTTTTTAGCCCTTATTTCTCAGTGGTTTTCAGAGCTTCAGCTTAAACAGGAATACTGTGTCGCTTCACTCCGCCAGTTTCACCAGCTCAGCACCTTCTCACTCTCCTCACTCTCTCGGCTTAATAGAAGCCACTTCTCTGTGATTTCCTGAGTGGTCTCTGAGCTGAAACAGGAAACTCGATTCAAAAACACTGTATTTTCTTAAATGTCTTCACTCTGACCTTCCCAGGACTGCCTGGCTCCCTCACCGTGGGGAGGCAGCAGGGAAGGGGTGTGCTGGTGTGTTTACAGCCTGCCTGGCTGTTCCTTGCACACATCTGAACACAAGAATATACCCTTTCTTCATTATTTCTCTCTCGCAGGTCTCTGGGGGAACAATAAAAGAGCTGGTGGAGGCCCTGAGACAGATGGGCTACACTGAAGCCATTGAAGTGATCCAGGCGGCCTTCCACACTTCTGGAACTGCAGCCCCCAGCCCGGGCCAGACCTCCTGTCAGGCCGCCTCGCTGCCTCTCTCACCTGCCTCCACAAGGCAACAAATAGGTAAAGAGAAAACAGGAAAAGCAGCTGAGATAGTCTCCTGCTCCCCAGGCCAATGTCCCCAGCCCCCTGGGAGGTAGTAGGTCCTCCCACCATGTCTCCTGAATGTTCTGTCCCACGTGTCTGTCTCCCCTGGGCTCACAAGCTCTCCTGCTGCCCCTCTTGACACTACCATTAAGGAGAGGAGGCTGTTCCCAGGGACAGTCACATTGACACATGAGTTTCTTAGATGAACAATAAATACTAAGAACATCATGATGTGGGTGATTAAGGTAAATATTAATTCTCTCACTTCTTAAATTGAAAAACGAGAGAACTGCATAGAGCAAGGTTTACAGAACCAGGACTAGGGCCAGACTGGCTGATGCTGTGATCACTGCCACATGAGCTTGTTCCTTCCAGCTCCTGCCTGCAGGGGTCTTCCCCCCTTCCGCCTGTCCCTGCACTCTAACCCTGACCCTGTCTCCCACCTAAAACATAGAACATAGTGGCCTCTCTTCACATCCCCAAAATCCCTTATTTCCCTTTAAATGGATTCTCCCACTCTTTAAACAACAATTGCCCACTTTCTCTTCCCAGGCCCCCAAACCCCTCCCTCTCACTGGATGGGTAACATCCAGCCACCTCACTTCACATTCTGTTAACAGAGGAACTACTAGAATTCTCTCACCTTGGTGCTGAGTCACCAGCCTGCGCCTGCACCACCCTGTCCGTCAGAGGATGGTGTGTGTGCGGCAAGCTCAGCCCACCCCCCCACCTCCCCTTCCTGCCGCGCCCCATCTCCACCCCTTCTCACTGTGGCCTCTCCCACACTAGCAGTGTCTCCCTCCCGATGGGATCACCAGCGAGCATGCTGTAGTTTCTCTCAGCTTTTCAAAATAGAACAAATGGGAAAAAAATCGCTCCCTTTACCCCACATCCCCTTTAGCTACAGCCCAGTATCTCTGTTCCCGTACACAGCAGAGCTTCTATAAGAATTTTTTGAGAGTTATCCTTTCTGCCTCTTCACCTTCTCTCCTCTCCTTGACGCCTGGCAGCTCCAGCCCACCACCCACCCAGCTGCTCCTGTGGTGGTGAGCAGTATCAGGGCAGACCCACTCTGCACCCTGCTTCCCTGCTCCGGGCGTGATCACGGTCGGCCCCTGCCTCCCGCTTCCCACAGGCTCCACTCTGGCCTTTGCCACGGCACACTCACCTCGTAAAGTGTTAGCCCCCCAGAGCCCAGTCCTGGGCCCACTGACTCCCCCTGCTTACACAGGACACTTGCCCACACTCAGAGCTCGCCGTATAAGTAGAAATACTGCCCTTCCACCAGGAGGTGAAGAAAAAAACCTACGAGTTGCCCACCACTACTTACTGCTCCTACCACCGCTCATCAGCCCAGGTCCTTCCTCTCTGTGATAGCTGCTCTCGTCCATCCACCTTCATTTCTTGCCTTGACTCCTGCAGCAGCTCCTAATCAGTTTCCCCGGTGCCAATCTCTCTCCAGTCCATTCTCTGGACAGCATGTAGTGTTACAGTTTTAAAAAAAATAATGAGATTGTTAGTACATACTAACATACCCTCCAGTTCATTCACCCATTCAGCAAATCCCTGCTGAGGTCAGCCTGGGTACCTAGCACTGTTTGAGGCCATGAAGGTGGGTCAGGGGCCAAGAAGGGCAATATCCCCTCTTTATTCATTCTCTCTCTTAAACACGTCACCTTTGTTCGCCCTTCCTCCCACCCCCTCTGCCTTGCAGCCCCCATGTGTTCCTCCTGCTCACAGCGGGATTCAGCAGTAGTACCTCTGAGCCTTCCTTCCCCTTCCGTGCAGAGACCCTCACCTGGCTGGCTCCTCCTTACCATTCACTTTCAGCACCAGTGTCCCTTGTCTGGCAGGCGTTCCTAGGGGCACAAGGACAGCTGTCATGCACACTTTAGAAAGGAATGACATACCCACTAGGAAAACGATCTACATCTTTCTCATGGCCTCATGCTCTTTCCACACAATGCTTAAAAAGCATTAAGCCCTTGATTTGTAATTCTTTTATAATAGCTCATGCCTGGCATTAAGATTGGTTAACTGAATAAATCAGTAACAAGAAAATAGCTATGTGACTGCTATTAAAGTCCTAACATTTTAATATTGGAATTTAACATACAAGATGATAGCATTTCAATGTGTGTGTATTAGACTTCTCTTCCCTTGGTTACTCTAAGAAAGAATTCATATTGTTCAGATCCTAAAGATATTTCTCAACAAAGAGAATTTGACCCAACTGTCCAGTAGAAACTCATTTTCATCAAAATCATCTTACATTTTTGCTATCAGAATGTTTTTGGGGCAGTATATAGTGTTTAATAGCATAGACAGCCCAGAGAGATATCTCAATTTTAGTTACTACTTCTGTCTCCATTCTGCCTGGGTTTAGCAATCTCCCCCACTTTAAACAAGTAACTCAGTGGTTGGAAAAGAACACCTGATTTCTAAAGATAAAAAGGTACCTTGAGTCAAGAGAATTCAGAAAGGATCCTGATAAACACAAGGCTAAACAAAGAAAAACCTTTGGTTAATTTTAATGCCTTCACTTTTATATTAGTCTGTGTTTTCTGCTCCCCACCCACTGAATAGTAGCAACTAGCAGGGCAATGTAGGTTGGACGTGGGACTGGTAGAAGCTGATGGAGCCCACAAGCCTTTAAGAGCTGTACTTGGAACCAGGCTAGAATGGAAAGCGCTACAAGAGTGAAGGCTTCACCTTAGTCCCACTGTTCCTCAGTGACTCTGTGCTTGCTCCCCACTCAGATGAGCTCCGAGATGACAGCATCTGTGACAGTGGCGTGGAGACGTCCTTCCGCAAACTCAGCTTTACAGAGTCTCTGACCAGCGGCAGCTCATTGCTAACTCTTAACAAAATGCCCCACGAGTATGGGCAGGAAGGACCTATAGAAGGCAAAATTTAGCCCACTGGCATTTCCCAACACCACGCAAACCAAAGCTCTGAAATTCCACCACATTATCCAAGTGAAGAAAGATAACATGCATCCAGAGGTGCTCAGAGGAAAACCAGCCTGCCTGGATCGTTCTGGATTTAATTCAGCCTTTTCAAGTTGGCTTCCTTTCTTGATTCCTAAATGAATTTTTAATTCGGTTCACTTACAGATAGTGTCTAGCAGTCACAGCACTCTGCTGGGCTGATGCCTCGTTGGGGGTGAGATGGCTTCTTGAGCTTTACCAGCTGCTTCCTGTCATTGCTGCTGTCCCTCTGCTGCATTCCCACTGTCATTAAAAGGTGTCACAGGCCCCACCTGGCATTCCTCCTGGCCGTCCACTGAGTGTGCATTCAGATTAAGAATTAGCAAAAGGGATATTTTAAAATGAGAGTTACTAAGTGTATAATAAAAAAAGGCTTACTACTTTTTCTAATGTGGTTATCTCTGTGATTTAAAAAAGATCATGTACATGTCAATATTTAAACATGGTTACAATCAGTGCTGAAAATGGTATTTTCCCCCTTTTTCTGCATTTTGCTATTGTAAATATGTTTTTTAGATCAGATACTTTAAAGGAAAAAATGTTGGATTTATAAATGCTATTTTTTATTTTACTTTTATAATAAAAGCAAAAGCAAATTCATGACCTTGTCTTGTTTATCTCTACAAGTATACTTTCTAAGATGATTCCTTATAATCACAGGATCATTTCACAGCCTAATGATCATACTCACATTACTCTTTAGAGTCCATTTTTTGATCCAGAAATGAACCCCAAAAAAATAATAATCAAAAGAAAGGTGTTTTAACCTGAGATAAACGGAAGGTTTGGGTCTGTCAAATCCTTGCTTGGCTTATTTCATTCATTTAGGCAGTGTCACCTTACCTTCTCCCATCTCACACAAAACCATTCCTTCTCAAGCCTCAATGTGTTCTCAATGCCACCACGATGCATAAAGGATTGGAATTTGAGCGTACCAGAGGGGCTTGGACAGGAAGCCTTCTAGTGTGAAGCTTTGCTGGACTGCTCTTCACTCAGAGTTGAAAACAAGGGAGAAGAAAAATGAACTGTTTGAATGAGGTTCTGTGGTGGACATTGGTGTGTAACCAAGATCTCTCTTTAACAAAGGACTTTATGGCCCTGCTGGGAGCACTTGGCAAATGGCCTTCAGGGACTGCCTCCGCTGCAAAAACCACCTAACCCAGGTCACACCCTTTCCATGCAACACTGATTGACATAGTGTATAAAAACCCTCTACCTCAGGACAACACTGAAGTGCTGTTCGAACTCCAGAGCACCCTCAAGGTTGGCTGAGGTGGTGTTTGGGTCTGCATCACAGCTCAGCTCTTCCACCCACCCTGTACTGCTTCAGTTCCTGCCCTCCTACAGCTGTTGATCCAGGATGCTCCTGAATAACATCTTGCACATGAGTCTCATCTCAGAGCCAGTTTCCCTAAGAGCTCAACTTGTGTAAGTGCTGGGAATTAATGTTGACTGCTTTTGTACAACATGTAATGTCATTTAATCCTGAAAATAACCCAATGAGGTACACAGAATTATCCCCAATTTACAGAGAAAGAATTGAGGCTTCAAGAGTTCAAGTAGGCAATGGCTAAATTGCTCCTAAGTTTACACCCAGGTCTGTCCAGCTCCAGAGCTCATGAGTTGGAAGATTATATCTTGGTAGGAATAAAAAGTAGATTAAAATAATCAAGTCTAGAAGTAGACCCTCCTAATACATAGGAATTTAGTATATGATAAAAGTAAAATTTCAATCAACGAGGAAAGGATGATTAATAAGTATAGGTTCCAACTCATAAATTACTGAAGAAAAAAGGTCGATCGAACTCTTCTCTCCTTTCATCAAAATAATTTCCAGATGTATCAAAAATTAAACCACACGAGTTTGGAGAAGGTGGTAGCATAGAAAGAGCCTGAACCCACCCACCTGTTTCCACCTACACACCAAATCTACACCTATATACAGAGCAGTTCCTCCTGAGGAAGAACTGAGGTCTGAGTGAACACTTTCTATACAGCAAGAGATAGAAAGGTCACATAAAAAACAGCAGAGAAACAACGACAAAGTAATGGCAGGAACCACATCCCCAGCTCGATGACCCGTGAGGAATACCACTGAGGGACCCAAGCACAGATTTTCCTGGCCAGTGACAGAAAGTGGTTTAAAGTGCATCTACTCTATAAGTCAAAGAAGTCCTATTTTTAGAACTAAAGCACCCACCATTTGGCAGTGGAACTGCTGGAATTCACTCTAGGATGAGAGGTGCTGGTGAGCACCATTGTCTACCTTCCCTCTGCACACTGATAGCATGGGTCTAGGTACACACACCAACTCTAGACTTAACAGAGGTGGCCTCCCAGTGCCCACTCATGCCCACCAGAGAGTCAGCAGACTCACCAAGGCAGCACCAGCATAATGCTCATCTAAATTCACCTTCACCTGCTGCTGCCCCCACCAGCTGTCTCTACCCCCGAGATACATGGAGCATGCCATGGCACAACCAGCATGGTACCAGCTAGCAACCATGTAGGAGCCCCAGCAACAGGATCCCCTGGCCCATAGTCACCTGGTCTCCAGCCAGCCAGCTAAAACTGCCAGGCACACTCAGTATACCCAGAGGTCCTTCCTATACAAGATTACTGTTCAAGAGTAGAAGAGGTAACCCTTTCACCTAATTCACAGAAACAAACACAAAGTCAAACAAAATGAGCAGACAAAAGAATATGCACCAAACAACAGAATAAGACAAAACTCCAGGAAAAGACTTAAATGAAAGAATGAATCTATCTAATGAAGGGTTCAAAGTAATAGTTCTAAAGATGCTTGCTGGACTTGAGAGAAGAATGGATGAACTCAGGGAGGATTTCAACAAATAAGATAGAAAATCTTAAAGAACCTGTTGGAGCTGAAAAATACACTGAATAACTTTAATTAAAAATACAGTAGAAGGAATCAATAGCAGATTAGAGGATGCAGAAGAAAAGATCAGCAATCTGGAAGACAGGGTAGGGAAAACACTCAAGCTGAATAGCAAAAAGAAAAAAGAATGAAAAGAAATGAGGACAGGCTAAGGGACTCCTGGGATAACATCAAGTGTACTAACATTCACATTTGAAGAATCCCAGTAGAGCGGGAGAGGTAGAAAGCTTATTTGAAGAATAATAGCAGGAAACTTACCTAATATGGGGAAAGAAATAAAGACATCCAGGTCCAGGAAGCAGAGAGAGCCCCAAACAAGATGAACCCAAGGAGGCTGGGTTCTCTTTTTTTTTTAAGTGAGTCTTTTACACATAATAATATAATAATTAAAATGATATTTTTATACCTAATAGTTATAATTGAAGACATATAATAATTTAAACGGTAAAGATTAAAGATAAAGAGAGAATCTTAAAAGCAGGAAGATAAAAGCAATGAGTTGATTAAAAGGGAAGCTACATAAGGTATCAGCTGAGTTTTCAGCAGAAACTAGGGCCAGAAGGGAGTGGCAGGATATATTAAAAGTGCTGAAAGGCAAGAAACCTACAACTAAAAATACTCTACCTGACAAGGTTATCATTCAGAATTGAAGGCAAGATAAAGAGCTTCATAGATAAATGTAAGTTTATGGGTTAACCCCAGTAAATTGGCCTTACAAGAAATGGGAATTCTTTAAGAAAGAAAGAGAAAAGGCTATAACTAGAAGCAAGAAAACTATGAAATAAAAAAATTTCACAGGTAAAAGTAAACATTTAGCAAAGGTAGTAGATCAATCACTTAAAAGCTAGTATGAAGGTTAAAAAGACAAAAGTAGTAACATCAATTACACCTAAAAATTAGTTAATGGAATCACTAAATAAAGACAGTGTAAAGAAGACATACATTAAAACATGGAGGGGGAGGAGTAAAAAATGTAGTGCTGTTGCAATGTATTTGAACTTAAATGACCATCAACTTAATATATATGTAGGATGTCATATGTGAACCCCATGGTAACCACAAACCAAAAACTTAACAATGCACAGGAAATAAAGATAAAGGAATCCTCAACCATAACACTAAAGAAAGTCATCATGCACAAGGGAAGAAATCAAGAGAAGAATAAAGGATCAGAGAAAAACAAAAACAACCAGAAAACATTTAAGAAAATGGCAGTAAGTACATACCTAATAGTAATTACTTTAAATGTAAGTGGACTAAAAGCTCCAATCAAAAATAGGATAAAAAAACAAGACTCATCCATATGCTGCCTACAAAAGACTCACTTCAGACCCAAAGACAAACACAGACTAAACTGAAGGAATTGAAAAGATATTCCACGCAAATGGAAATTTTGAAAAAGCCAAAGTAACAGTATTTATATCAGACAAAATAAACTTCAAAACAAAGACTGTAACAAAAGACAAAGAAGGAATTACATAATCATTAAAGGCTCAATCCAGCAAAAAAGATACAACAATTTTAAGAATCTATATGCTCATCAAAGGACTTAAATGTTAACAGGCATAAAGGGAGAAACTGACAATAATTCAATAATAGTAGAGGACTTTAACACCCCACTTACATTAATGGATAGATCATCCAGACAGAAAACCAATGAGGAAACAGTGGTTATGAAGCACACACTAGACCAAATGGACTTAACAGATAAATACAGAACATATCTAAAAACAGTAGAAGGTACAATCTTTTCAAGTTCACATGGAATATCCTCCAGGATAGATCACATGTTAGACCTCAAAGAAAGTCTTAATAAATTTAAGAAGAGTGAAATACCAACCATCTTTTCCAACAGCAGTATGAAACTGAAAATCAATTATAAGAGAAAAACTGGAAAAAACACAAATGTGGAGGTTAAAAACATGCTACTAAACAACCAATGGGTCATGGAAAAAACTGAAGAGAAAATTTTCTTTAATGGAGAACAATGAAAATAGAAATACAACAGTTCAAAATCTTGGGATACAGGAAAGTCAGTCCTAAGCGGGAAGTTTATAGCAATACAGGCCTAGCTCAAGAAACAAGGAATATTTCAAATAAGTAATATAACCCTACACCTAAAGGAAGTAGAAGAAAGAATAAAGCATAAAATTAGTAGAAGGAAGGAAATAATAAAGATCAAAGGACAAATAAATGAAATAGAGATTTCAAAAACAAAAGATCACTGAAACTAAGAACTGATTCTTTGAAAAGATAAACAAAATTGATAAACCTTTAGCTAGACTCAGCAGGAAAAAAAGAGAAGACTCAATCAGAAATGATGAGGAGAAGTAACAACTGACACCACAGAAATATAAACAATATAAGAGATTACTATGAAGATTATGTGCCAACAAGTTGGACAACATAGAGGAAATGGATAAATTCCTAGAAACATAAAATCTTCCAAGACTGAACCAGGAAAAAAGAGAAAATCAGAACAGACCAACTACTAGTAATGAAACTGAATAAGTAGTAAAAAATTCCTCATAAACATAAGTCCACAATGAGATAGCTTCACAGGAAAATTGTACCAAACATTTAAAGAACGGCTAATACCTATCCTACTCAAACCTATTCTAAAAAATTTAAGAGGAAAGAAACCTTCCAAATTCATTCTATGATGTCAGCATTATCCTGATACCAAAA